AAAATTTGGGAAATGAGAAAATGAATTTTAGCTCAACCTGGGTTTTATTGGGATTGAAACCCAAAACTCTTTAAAATGGCAAAAGAACTGTGTCTTGTCACTTTTCCTCCCTTAGTCTCTCCTAGGCATTCTACCTTCTGGTTTTGTTTTGTTTGGTTTGTTTTGGTTTGGTTTGGGGCCACAACCAATGGTACTTGGGGACTTTTCCTGGCTCTGTGCTCAGGGGTCACTCCTGCTGGGGCTCTGGGGACCATATGCGGTGGCTGGGATCAAACCAATGTTGGCTGCATTCCAAGGCAAGTGCCTTAACCACTTACTATCTCTCCACCCACTTGTACCTTCTGGTATGAAAATTTAGAAACCTTCGTTCTGAAGAAGACATTGAACTGCATGCTATGTTTTGTTTGTTTGTTTGTTTGTTTCCATGCAAAGTTTTCATTACAGTTTTTAACAAGAGGTTGGAAAGATAGCATGGTGGATAGGGCGGTGCCTTGCACCTGGCAGACCCAGGTTCAATCCCTGGCTCCCTCTATATTCCCAGGGCCCCGCCAGAAGCTCTAAACACCTCTGGATGTGGTCTAACCCCTTCCCCAAGCCCTCTTCAAATAAATAAATGAAAAATTTTAATGATTTCATTCCTGCATCCTAAGTGTTGACATTTGTTGCTTCACTATGGGGAGAAGAGCTGAGAAAAATGTTGTTAGATGATATTGTCACCTTCTGTCATTGTGTCACACTCTGGGTGATATAGCTTATGCCACATCCGGCTGTCTGGCAGGGCCTATGGGGACCACTGTCGTATGTGGGTCCGCTTGTGACTACAATGCCACCAAGTGGCGTGTGGTGTGGTTGGGGTCTAACTGGGATCATCTGTTAAGATTTGGGTTCCTTAGAGACTGGGGAAAGTCAGACATCTTCGGGCAGATTGGGAAGAGGACACATAAGAAGTTTGTTGATAACATGTCTCCCTCCTGCTTGTGGGGAGCCCTGGGTCACTGACTATCCCCCAGGTGGCTATGACCACAGACAGTATCTTCAATCTTTGAGTGAGCTCAGCCTGAGCAGAGGACATTGGGAAGCAGCAGGGTAGTGGTCAGTCAGTTGAAGACTTGAGTTCTGCTTTCTTTCTCTGCAACCCAGATTGATCCCGGCCACCACATATGGTCCACTGAAAGCCACCAGGAATGATCCTTGCACAAAGGCAGGAGTAAGGCCTCATGAGAGTCCTGAGCACATCTGAGTGTAGCCTGAAAACCAAAAGGAAGGAAAGAAAAGACAAGATCAGGAAGTCACCCTTCTAAAGAGACATTTGCATGTAGATGCCATGACCCAAAGCAACCTCCTTTCTGGGCTTCCTTATTAGGAACCCCCATGAAAGTAACCTGTGGACAAAGACTTATTTTGGATGGTAGTTTGTTTGTTTGTTTGTTTTGTTTTGTTTTTGTGCCCCTGTTCTTACATCCTAGCTTCTAAAACTGCAGGTTGTGGTCCCATATGGGGATCTTATGCTTTTCTTCATGATACAGTGTCAGTAATGTAATCTTGTATATTTGTTTTATTTTATATACCTATAGACCTGTGGGTGTATAAAAAACTTTTTGGGGAGGGGGTCATAAAAGTGGTTGTGAGTAGAGAAAGTTTCAGAAGCCCTGTGCTATGTTAACATGAGAATGTTTCCTTGGGGCCAGAGTAGTGGGTAGGGCATTTGCCTTGCACTGAGCCAACCTAAGTTCGATCCTAGGCATCCCATATGGCCCCCATACCTCTCCCCTCCACCACACACACCCAGCACTGCCAGGGGTAATTCCTGAGTGCAGAGGAAAGAGTAACCCCTGAGCATTGCCATGTGTGACCCCAAAAACAGAGAGAGAGAGAGAGAGAGAGAGAGAATGAGAGAGAATATGTTTTCTTGACATTCAGGACAGGATGCTGACTTGAAGACCAAACACATGACTAGGGAAAAAAAGGTATTCAGATTTTTATCATGTTCTTTTTTTTTTCTTTTTTTTCTTTTTTTCAAAATGAAATTACAGGGCTGGAGCGATTGCACAGCGGGTAGGGTGTTTGCCTTGCATGCGGCCAACCCAGGTTTGATTCCCAGCATCCCATATAGTCCTCTGAGTACTGCCAGGAGTAATTCCTGAGTGCATAAGCCAGGAGTAATCCCTGTGCATCACGAGGTGTGAACCCTCCCCCCCAAAAAAAAGAAAAAAGAAAAAAGAAAAAATGAAATTACATTGTATTGGCTTACTACTGAAAATTTTGTGTGCCTAGGGGTTTCATAGAAAAGATGTGAAATCCTAAAGTGGTGGTTAGGCTCCAGAGTCTGTTAACAGAGGATGAGAAATTATGGAGATGTGACTATGTGACAAAGAGAAATGGACTTGGGACCTCAGTTGTTGGACAGTCACTTGTGGGAAAGTGACCTAGATATTAGGACTGTGTCGAGAGAGGCCTGGTGTCACTCCACCTGGTGGCATCTCCAGTGAGTCAGGGTCATTCTCTGGATCAAGTGGGCACTGCCCACATGGCAATTCCCTTTACTAAAGGGGCTTTGATGCTCCACTTTTAAGTAGATGTGAGAGCGGAGAGAGTTTCTCCTATATTCGCTGTTCAGTTGCTGTCACTTCAAAATAATTTTCATGTGACACATTTTAGGGTTTCATAATTGACCTCCCCCTGCCCTGATACAATAGATGGAATCATGATCACGATCACGATCATCCTGTTGTTTGTCAATTGCCTCGAGCAGGCCCCAGTAACGTGTCCTCAGTAACGTGTCCTTCTTCATAGCCCTGAGAATTTTTTTTTTTTTTTGCTTTTTGGGTCACACCTGGAGATGCACAGGGGTTCCTCCTGGCTCTGCACTCATGAATTACCACTGGCGGTGCTCAGGGGACCATATGGGATGCTGGGAATCGAACCCGGGTCGGCTGCGTGCAAGGCAAACGCCCTACCCGCTGTGCTACAGCTCCAGCCCCATAGCCCTGAGATTTTAAAAAGTGCCATATTCAAGGCTCTGTCAGGGTTAGGAGATTGAGACCCATCATTGTTACTGGTAATTTGACATATTGGGTATGACACGGGGAGTTTGCCAGACTCTGCCACGTGGGCAGGTTACATTCGGTAGCCTGCCAGGTTGTCCTACGTAAGAATGAGATAATAAGATGTCAGAAGCTGGGTTTTATAGTCTGGGTCTTGGCCGTTGATGGGATTACATGGCGCCAGGGGGCCAGTTGGTGGGTGTGACCCCTGCCTACTAGAAGATGGAGGATCTGGGTGGAGGATGCTCAGCCCCGACCCGAGCAGGCTTGGAGATCTCAGCCCCAGGACCCACATGCCTTTGTTCCTCTGCCGGTACATTCATGCGTGTGGAGAGTGGTCTCAGCATGGCTGTGGCTGGTTCTGGAGGTCTTCGGCTGCTGAAGCTCTGCCAATAGATGGAAATGCACTGTGTTTTAATACAATTGTCTATTTGTTATAGGCCATCATAAGGTTTTTATATTTAAATAAGGCTTCTATATCTGGAGTCAGAGCAATAGTACAGCAGTAGGAAGTTGCCTTGCACGCAGTAGACCAGGGCTTCATCCCCAGTACCCCATATGCTCCTCGTCAACACCACTAGAAGTGATCCTTGAGCATAGCGCCACAAGTATGCCTGGTGTGGCCCAAAAACACACAACAAAAAAGACTCTATCTTTGTATTGAAATTTATATAGTTTTAATACTTTAATAAATATCCTCGTCCTGTTTGAGTAAGACAGTTTGTACTCAAAGAGCACGTTGGGTGAAGGCCTTAATCCTGCCCTGCCCTACCCTGCTCTGAAACTGCTCGCCAGCCTCTTTGTACAACAAGCCTCTGAGTGGTCTCGTTTGCCTGGTGAACGTGTGATTGTGTTACAATGGGTGTCAGCTAACTTTCAGCATCTTTGTGGACCGTGCGGAAGATTTCAGGTGCCTTGAGTGTTCCAGCTCTTCGTTTAGTGGCATCAGCAGGTTCGCTTCTGTGGATGTCCAGCAGGCTTAGGAACTGGAGCCCGTGCTGGTCCGCCAACTGCTTCCTGCTGCTCTCTGGCTTCTCTTACCTTGTTGTTCTCTGCTGCCCAGGTTCTCACTATTTGGTTTGAGTTCCAGTGCTCGGCCTCACTTGCTCCACTGCTTACAGCTCGGTGGTCAGTGCTCAGTGCTCATTGCCCTACTGCTCAGTCTTTTTATCGTCCATGTGCATGAGTCGCTGGGCCTCTGTGTGTATCTAGATCATCTGGGTTCTCACTTCCCTGTAATAAGAAGATTTCATACTCACCGTCCAGGAAGGCATCTCTGGGACCAGAGCAATGGTGCAGCAGGTAAGGCATTTGCCTTGCGTGTGGCCGACCCGGGTTCAATCTCCGGTATCCCATATGGTCCTCCAGACTCCACCAGGAGTAGTTTCTGAGTGCAGAGCTAGGAGTAACCCTGTGACCCCCTCTCCCCCCGAAAAAAGCCCAAAACAAAACAAAAAGCTACCAAACAGGCAGCTTACTCTATTCTACTGTTGTAAAGGTTTTCAAACTTAGTTGACCTACCAGCCCTTTTCTGAAAAGATCAGTCAGTGCCCCACCTGAAAACTACCTTTTTTTTTTCCCCTTTTGGGTCACACCCGGCGATGCTCAGGGGTTACTCCTGACTCATGCACTCAGGAATTACTCCTGGCGGTGCTCGGGGAACCATATGGGATGCTGGGAATCGAACCTGTATCGGTCATGTTGGCTGCTTACAAGGCAAATGCCCTACCCGCTGTGCTATCGCTCCAGCCCAAAACTACCTTTTTAAATCCAGGGTGCTCCTGGATCCTCCCAGCACCTCAGACAGCCAGACAGGGGCTTTGGGCACCAGGATCTCTAGCAGGCAGGATGGTTTACTTTGGAATCCGTTGCCTGGAGTTAACGTTGCCTCTGAACATCACGTAGCTTGTGCTTAGCACTGACTGGTCATTTCTCTGTCTTGGTTTTTTCTGGCAGCAGCAGCGTGCAGGGTCAAGGACAGGCGGCCCCCCATGTCAGTGGTCTAGGATGGCCAGTGAAGCCACCAACATCCCAAGTCCTGTGGTGCGCCAGATTGACAAGCAGTTCCTGATCTGCAGTATATGCCTGGAACGGTACAAGAACCCCAAGGTTCTCCCCTGTCTGCATACTTTCTGCGAGAGGTAAGCCTGCGGTGCAGGGGGAGGGAGTTTCAAAGCCCACCTCCGACTCCTCACCGACTCCTCCCAGAAGTCTTCAGGCACCCGAGGAGACAAGGACTCTTTTGTGTTTCTGATGAATGAATGTCTAGAAACATAATCATGCGTCGGAAATTTCAGATAATTTCAGCCAATTTCTTGTCTTTATTTCAGATCATTTTAAGTGGGAAAAAGCAACCCAATAAGCACCTCTTCCTTTCCCCGGGAAATTAAAGCATTGAATGTTTCAAGATTTAGGGCTGGGAGATACTTTGCATCCAGGGACCCAGAGTTTGGGGTCCAGAACCACGGGGTCCCCTCTTCCCCGAGAGGAACCCCCAGCTCTGCTTAGTGTGTTCCAAAGACAGAACACACCAAAAATTTTAAAATTGTTTTCCCTTTGCTCTTCTTGAAACAAATTTTGCCAGTCTTTACCTCATAGAGGATATTTGACTGATTATGAATCTTGGCATTTCTGGAACGATAGTCCCAGAGGTAAGGCGTTTGCCTTGTGTACAGCTGACATCTGGTTAGACCCCCAGCACCACATATGGTTCCCTGAGCATCACTGGGTGACTCCATCCCCAAATATCACATTTCCTCTGACATAATAATTTGAGTAAAATATTTGTATCTGAGATTTAAAAAGAGATCACCCTTCTAAATGAATGAGAGAGTATACTCTAATGGCATCCTGAAACAGAATGTTTCCTGAAAATAAAACTAAATGAGTTATTACAGCAATTACAGCAATTACACGTACATTTGACTATATTTAAAAAAACCTACTTCCATATGTCTTCCTGAATAGTTGTTTCCATTGTGTTAATCTGTCATCAAGATATACCTTTATTTTCTGTCTAACTTACCGCATGAACAATTAAGCACAACAAGTTTGGGTGATTAATTTATCTCTGGCCCCATTTAAGTATTTTCCTAGTAAGGTTATACATTTTCTGTTATTACTGAATACATAATGAAAGTGCTTTGCTTACCAGGATAAAAGAGGAAATAGTTTCTTTCAATGGCTCCAAATCAATGCTAATTATATTTACTACCCCATAAAATACATTTGGTATCTGATTTACTGTTGACTTAGAGTTAATGTAATGGGGAAGGTCTTATTTGCCTTGGTGACATTCTTGGTGGGGTTGGATGGAGGGAGAAGGTGAATTTGTTACTGATGGTTGTATTTTGTTTATTGTACTTTGTGTTAGATTATTGTGGGACTTTTTTGTGTGCATACACAGATGTATGGTTTTTGTTTTAGTGGTGGGTATTCAGAGCACCAGTACTTTTTACTCATTTTTATACTGCAGCATAAGTACTTGATATAGTTCATCTTCCAAAAACGGCTCAACGATGGAGCTAAAACCAGTCCAAGTTAGTGCTCAGTTAGTCCAGGTTAGTGCTCAATTAACACATACACTAATAGGAACTATACAGGGATTAGCCTGGGCCCTGGTCAAGGATGACACACACGTTTGTGAAACATTACATGTTTTGGCTCCGTCATGTAGCAATGAATAGTCTTTTTAACTACAAAACAAGACCAACAACAAATGCCAGCTAATTGTCCATGTGACCAGACTCCTGTGGGAAGATCGTCCTTTGATTAGCGGTAGGCAACGTGGACAGGCACTTTTCATCATGTTCCACCCTGCATCAAAAACTTAATAAAAATACTTTCTGCTGGGGAAAAAAAGACTTTTCTGCTAAACAAACAAACAAAAAAATGCATGCATTCATGCGCGCGCGCACACACACACACACACAAACACACACACACACACACACACACACCCCTTCATCTATTTTGATGTATCTTAACATCTGAGACAGGCTTTGATATCATATGTGAAGTTTCATCAATGGAAGAGTGGAGCGCACACAGGTCCATCCACCCTATTAGATACTCTCCAGCAGCCCTCGAGTGTGTGCAGATCGTGCGGGCTTCTGATTCACTCCATCGGAGTGGGACCAGAGACATGACTCGGTGGACTGGAGTCCAGGTTTAGCTTCCAGGAGGCCTGGGCACTGTGTGCTCCATGGAGCACTGCCAGGAGCAACCCCTGAGTGGACAGCAGCCCCCAAACACTGCCAGACGTGCCCCACCCCTCACCCCCAGAGAGAAGTTAGGATTCCTGTTGCTTCCGGGCTCCTGGCTGAGACTTCCACTGTCCACGTGTGTGGCCTGGAAGTGACCCCCTGCCAGATCAGTGACCTGATCCCTCTCCTGACGCATCATCATCTGCCTGACTCAGGGGACCTGGTCGCTGAGTGCAGGTGACATCGGGGTTTTTGACCTGTTGTTTTCCTAGCGGAGCGAAGGAGACAGGGAAGGAAGCTCAGTGGCTGTGGCTCAGTGGGTTCTGCTCCAGGGGTGCCCCCATCCTCACCCCCGGACCTGATGGTCCTTCCTGCTTCTGCCTCCGTCCCAGGTGCCTGCAGAACTACATCCCGGCCCACAGCCTGACCCTGTCCTGCCCCGTGTGCCGCCAGACCTCCATCCTGCCCGAGAAGGGGGTGGCCGCGCTGCAGAACAACTTCTTCATCACGAACCTGATGGACGTGCTGCAGCGAACGCCAGGCAGCAACGTCGAGGAGTCGTCCATCCTGGAGACCGTCACCGCCGTGGCCGCAGGAAAGCCTTTGTCCTGCCCCAACCATGATGGCAATGTAAGTGGTGGGGGCTGGCCCCTGCTGGGAGCAGATGGCAGAAATAACTGTAGCCGCACAGCACCCCAAAGGGCATTAACAGAGGTGCCCCTCCTTGCCCTCGCTCTCCTTTCCCTGCGTTCTCTCTGAACCCCTTTATTCAACACCCTTGGGGCCAGCGCTCAAAGGTATGTTTCTTGCCCTCTAATGGCTTCATGAAATAAACGCTACTGTGTTTTAAGAAATACAAATTAGTGCTGGAGTGATAGCACAGCGGGTAGGGCGTTTGTCTTGCACACAGCCGACCCGGGTTCGATTCCCAGCATCCCATATGGTCCCCTGAGCACTGCCAGGAGTAATTCCTGAGTGCAAAGCCAGGAGTGACCCCTGTATATCTCTGGGTGTGATCCAAAAAAAGAAATACAAATTAAAAAATTTTAAATTCTCAATTAGTACATTTTTAACTAGAAGGCAGGGTTTTTTTCCTTCTTCTTTTTCTATTTACCAAGCCTATTTAACAAACTTGTGTCCGTATCTGGTGGTCCAGTCTGTCTGATGTGACATCACAGTGGGAACCACCCATGGTACCATGGTGCTACACCATGTTTAAGTAATAGAATCAGCCAACAAATGTACTACTCAAGTGCATATGGCAGCACAAACCCTAATGTGGGCCTCTGGAAAAGTGTGTCTGAAGTTAAGGATTCAGTCATTGCTACGTCCTGACCCTGGAGAATAGTTACCAAAATGTTAGTGAATTCAAGTTCTTTTTCTTGCGAGGTGGGTTTTCCTTGTGCTCTGTAAGGCCCTCCTTCTTAGTAGTAAGGAGGCCTGTTTCCCTCCCCACCTCTGCCAAAAAAGAGTAGTTCAAAAATACTTTTTTCAAAAGAAGAGATCAAGTCAAGATATTAGAAAAAGAACAATAAACAATTGAAACACAAAAGACAAAAACTTAAAAACTTAGCTTGAAAATAATAGAAACAATGGAGTTGATGAATAAATCCAAGGACCTAAAGGCTGTCTTTAATATTTGTGAGATAACCTGTCACCACAGACCATCTCCGCCTCTGCAACCCCCCTCCCCCCCCCCCGCCTTGGTGAAATATTTTCCTAAGCTGTGGGTAGATGGCTAAATTACTTTTCGAAACTTTACAAATTTGGCAAACTGTTGTGAGTGTTTTGTACAACTTCTTTTAGTCTGTAAGTTCACTACTAGAAATATATCTGAGGAAATAATTGGAGATGAGGAGAAAGATTGATAAAATCATGCTAATTGAATTTTTATATTAAAGTTTGGAATGAACTGAATGTGCACTATGAGGGAAATAATCTGATTCTAATAAATCCATATACCTGATTCTCAGGTAACCGATCTAATTGATGTTTTAGAGGGTACTGCATGATCATACCTGGTATCCCATGACCATACGGCCCTCTGAGCATTGCCAGGGATGATCCTTACTAAGCACAACCAAATCAGTTTTTGTTTGATTTGGTGCTTTAGAGAAAATCTCACTGTGCCATTAGATGTGACTCTGGTTCCATGGACACACAATGCTTTGTTTTGCTGTTGGTGTTTTATTTGGGGGCCATACCACTCAGGGCACTGGGGATGTAGAGTCACTCCTGGCTCTGTGCTCAGGTGTTGACCCCTGGTGGTGCTCAGGAGACCATATGCAGTGCCAGGGATTCAGATAGGGTCAGCTGTGTGCAAGACCAGCGTCTTACCCTTGTTTTATTTCTCCAGCCCATTGTGTTTCTTAGTTGGACTAGAGTTTATGCCCCTTATGGAATGGAGAAGTGTCTTCTGTGTTTAAGAGGTAATGTGGCAGAGTGCCCATCTTTCTCTGCATCTGCCCAGAGTTCTCAGGAACCAGGCAGTGGGTGATTGGGCTGCAGAGGTAACAAATCAATTTCTGGAGGACCCTGGTTACCATTTTAAGGAACTTGAATGTCTCCTAAGTCAGGCGAACCATTAAAAGAAGTCAGGTGGGGCTGGAGCAACAGCACAGCGGATAGGGCTTTTGCCTTGCATGCGGCCTACCCAAGTTCGATTCCCAGCATCCCATATGGTCCCTCGAGCTCCACCAGGAGTAATTCCTGAGTGCATGAGCCAGGAGTAACCCCTGTGCATTGCCGGGTGTGACCAAAAAGAAAAAAGAAAAAAGGAGTCAGGCATCGGAAGGCCCAGGGCAGCTTTGTGTTTAGCTTATCCAGAGTTGCTGAGATGTGATCAGGCAGGTGGGGAGCTGGGGCTAGAAAGCCCTGTGGAGGGAGGTGGTGCTGGAATGATTCATGGAAGGGGCTTTGTTGGGACAGCAGAAGCCAGGCAGAAAAGCAGATGTCCTTGTAAGGCTGAGCCTGTGTGGCTTGGTGGATTCTGGCCTACTTAGCTGGGATGCCTTAAGGACCAACTCAAAGAGGAGTTTTAGCATTTATCGTTCCAATTGGCATGAATTCCTATTTAATAATACTGCCAAGGAGCAATAATGCAGAGGGTAATGCTTGCCTTGCACGCAGCCAACCCAGGTTCGATCTCTGGCACCACATACGTTCCCCTGAGCCCTGCCAGGAGTGATCCCTGCGCTCTGCCATGGCTGACCTGAAATTAAAAAACAAAAAACAAAAGCAAACAACACTTAGGAAAGACAATTTTGCTGTTAGTGCCTGACAGACAAGTAGAAAAGAATTCCCTGAGGATGTGCGATTTAGCTCAGCAATGTAGGAACCAGGAACATAAATCTACCCAGTCGGATTTATCCACACAGATAAGTTATGACACTCCCAAAATTTCATCATGATGAGCCTGCTGTTGATCAAAGCCTTACCGTTAACATTGACTATTGATTAACACATATTTGGTATGTTATGTGAATCCACATATATTATTATAAAGTAAACTAGAGGAAAAAATGTTTATTTTTAGTGGGCAACACATAGCAAGCTTACTCCTGGTTGCGTGCTTGGGGGTCACTCCTTGGTGCGACTTGGGAGTACATATGGTGCTGGGGATTGAATCAGGCTCATGCAAGCGCCTTGACCCCTGTACCGTAGTACCATGTGCTTGTACAAAAATTTACTAGGAAAAACATGTGGACCATGATAAAGGTCTTCAGATGTCTTTATGTTGAGGAAGAGGAAGAGTTCAAAATATCTGAGATTTAATGGACCCACCCATTTGAAGCCCACAGACCATTGGGTGTTCTAAGCTGCTAACAGAAACTCACAGGATAACTAATTACAGCCATGTTAAACAAATCTTTGGTTAAAACTGTCCCTTTTAAAAGGCAGCTCAGGGGCTGGAGCAATAGCACAGAGGGTAGGACGTTTGCCTTGCACGCAGCCAACCCAGGTTCGATTCCCAGCATCCCATATGGTCCCCTGAGCACTGCCAGAGGTGATTACTGAGTGCAGAGCCAGGAGTAACCCCTGTGCGTTGCCAGGTGTGACCCAAAAAGCAAATAAATAAATAAAAGGCAGCTCAGATAGAGAAGGAAGCACCAAACAAAGGGTGTTGGGAGGATCCTCCCAGGATGGGAGATGCATGCTGAAAGTAGACTATAGACCGAACATGATTGCCACTCAATGCCTCTCTTGCAAACCACAGCACCCAAAAAAAGAGAGGGAACAAAAGTAAATGCCCTGCCACAGAGGCAGGGTGGAATGGGGAGATGGGGGGTGGGAGGGATACTGGGATTAGTGGTGGTGGAGAATGGGCACTGGTGGAGGGATGGGTACTCGATCATTGTATAACTGAAACCCAAGCACAAAAATTTGTTAGTCTACAACTGTACCTCATGGTGTTTTCACTAATAAATTTTTTTAAAAAACCAAAAAACAAAACTCTCCCTTTTAGGCCAAAGAGATGATAGTACAGCTGGTCGGGTGCTGGCTTTGCATGCAGCTGACCCAGGTTTGATCCCCAACACCTCATATGGTCCCCAGACCCTGCCAGGAGTGACCCTTGAGCACAGAGCCAGGTGTAAGCTCTGACAATGCTGGGTGAGGCACCAAAGGTGTTCTGGCAAATCATTGTAAAAATTTAATATTTCTAAAGAGTTTGATCCTCCTTGAGGTGCTTGAAGCTCTTTAAATCATTTTGAGCACTTTCTCTCTGCTGGGTCATTATGAGTCTTCAGAATCATAAAATTTACAAGCCAGCAAGAGGCATTGGAAATTTCGGCACTATGTATTTGAATTGTTTTATTGTTTTATCGTAAATTGTCAGAGTTTGATGCTTACTACTTTGAAATTAGGGTACTCACCGCATACTCGAGCCGAAATGCATGCACTGTTCCAGGGAAACTGCTGCAGCTAATTGCCATGAGTAAATCTTTAAAAACAATCCAAGTGTCGGAAGGTTAATAAAAACGGGCAATTAGCAATAACGCAGAATGTTGCCATCCTAAACTGCCTGGTGTTGGTTCGCCCATGTGGTTGAAAACCTGTCATTTTCTTTGAACACTGTGGCACCGTGTCTTCTGATGAAAGTGCCATGGCTGCAGTGTCTAAGGACAAAGAAGAAGGGGAAGAATGGTCAGCAGTTTAAGAGAGTCTGTGCATTTAAAGCCAGCATTTGAGCTCAGGCCCAGCAGTCCCTGAACACAAATGATCATTAAGCCTGGTGACTGCATGTCTAGTGCCTTGCTAAAGAGAATTCAGAAATGCAAGGAGAGGGCTGGAGAGAGAGCACAGTGGGTAAAGTGCTTGCCTTGCATGCAACTGACCCAGGTTTGATTCCTGGAACCCCATACAGGAAGCTTCCCCAAGCTCTACCAGCAGTGATCCTTGAGTGCAGAATCAGGGGTAACCCCTGAGCATCATTGGGTGTGGCCCAAAAAATGAAACCAAAAGGAGACACAAAAACAAGAGTTAAGTCCAGAGTTAAGTGCAAGCCCCTTTTGCTCCACCCCCTGCCAAAAAAAAATAATAATAGTTCATGACCAGTGATTATGAAGATTGAGTATTACTATTAATTTAGTTATATATTATCTGGAAAGAAAGTGTTTTGGGAAAATCAAACCACTTTGAAGCCATAAAATAATAAACTCCCTTATGTAGAATTATGTTCCAGCCATCACTGGAATTAAAGAAAATCTTAGAGGGACCGGAGTGATAATACTGCGGGTAGGGTGTTTGCCTTATACGCGGATGACGGTTCAATCCCCGGCATTCCATATGGTTCCACAAGCACCGCCAGGGTATTTCCTGAGTTCGGAGCCAGCAGTAACCCCTGAGCATCGCTGGGTGTGACCCAAAAAGAAAAAAAGAAAGAAAGAAAATCTTAGAACTTGGCAAGAAATGCTTTGTTATCTTCACTTCTACCAGCCTTTTGAAAAAAACCAGGAAAGTTTCTAGGTAACTAAATTTTCTCAAGTAAAAAATTTATAATGTGGGACTTTTATATTTTTGCCAGGTTATTGCTTTTCCTAGTATAATTTCTGAAGATGTTATGGCTGGAAGATATTAGTGCAGCACTGCCTGAACTTGTAGCTGATTCCATATCTTGAACACGTGAAAGTAGATAATAGAGTAAAATATCCAGATGCAACTCCAAATGCAGTTCCTTTCTTTAGAAGACACTGCCTCTCACAGGAAGCTACCTGTGACGTATTTGATATGCCAAACACAGTGACAAGTTTCACAATGGAGGCATTACTGGGCCCAGCTCGAGCAAATCGATGAACAACAGGAGGACAGTGCAGTGCAGTGCAGTGCCTCTCACAGGGGAAGGAGGATCTTTTGGCTCATGTAGTTCTTTGGTAAATACCGTAGATTATTGAATAAGGGGTGGGGGGCAGGTTGTTTTTCAGAAAATAGAAAGCTCTTCAGGAAAGAGCTTAGTGTTGCTGATAGTTTGGTAAAGTAGGGGGTGAGGGAGGTAGAAGTGAGAAAAAAGTATTTCCAGCTCTCTGCATTAACATACCGCGTCCTCCAGCGCTTGGGAAAGTGCTTGGCTTGAATCAGGGCTCGTCAAGTCCGCTACGAGCGCTTGCACGGCACAGATGTTCACATCCTGCCAGCCCCACGTGGCAGCTGTCAAGCTGTGCCTGGAGTCCTCTTGATCTGCACAGTGTGGGAGATGACCCCTGCCACCCGAATCCTTGGCAGCCATGGACTCAGGCTGGAGCTGAGAATTGCTTTTTGCAGGAAAGGAAAGTCAGTCATAACCTCGGCACAGACATTCTGGGTCTGTCTCTTTTCCTAGCAGAAAAGAATTTCAGAAGCAGGCAAAATAGTGAAGCAAGATAGTTTATGGGGATGGAGCAATAGCACAGCGGGTAGGGCATTTGCCTTGCATGCGGCCGACCCGGGTTTGATTCTCAGCATCCCATATGGTCCCTCAGTACCGCCAGGATTAATTCCTGAGTGCAGAGCCAGGAATAACACCTGAGCATCGCCGGGTATGACCCAAAAAGGAAAAAGGAAAAAAAAAGATAGTTTTTAATGGAACAAAATTTTCCTAGAAAGATGTGAGGGAGGAGAAAGACAGGAAGTATGTGTTCAAGAGAGAACATGGGCTTTTCCAGAGTTGGACAAAAGAGAAAGCAAAAAGACAGAAACAAGTAAGGAAAAACACGGGCTTGAAGAACAAGCTGATTCTTGGAAACTGTGACTTTAAACAAAGTGACATATAACAAAGTCAGGTCTTTGAGCAGCTTCATTTCATTCAATGCTGCCCCCATGTCCTCTGCCAGTCAACCTGATAGGGAAATGACATTGAACAAAATGAGGTCATTGGAGAATCTGCTATAATGATCAGCTTTTAGGTATAGCTGGGCACTCTGCCAGATGGAACTGACTTGTACCGAGTAGGAATGACCCATATGCTCATCTTCCTACTGAGTAGTTATGTTTTTATTGGATAGATTTATTCAAATTCATTTTTAATGGGATGTGTGTGAAAATGTCTTTAAGCAATTTAAGGATTAAGAAAGAAAATTTCCACTTGATGGCCTAAGCCCTTTCCTAAAAAGATCTGCACTGGAACAAAATTCATGGAATCAAATTTCCACATGAGGGAAAGACGTTATGTTTTCAAACCCTATTCTAGTATGAACCTATTTCAGCTCTGATGCCACTTGAGATTTAAAATTATCTTGAAACTAGCTTGAAGGACATTTTATCTGAATTTGGTTCACTGGAAATTGTGTCAGCAAACTGTGTTCTATTTTGGGGAGAATCAAGATGTGTTACACTTACATATATATGTTTATACATATATATCTATATATATCATGTAAACGTACTATATAAAATAGTGTATTTTAATGAGGAAGGTGTGCATTTTGGTTGCCCAAATTATGGCCAAGAATGTTCTCATTGGGCCAGAGTGATAGTATAGTGGGTAGGGGGTTTGCCTTGCACATGACCGACCCATGTTCAATCCATGGCATCCTGTCGTCCCCCAAGGCCTCACAAGGAGTGATTCCTGAGTACAAATCCAGGAATAAACCCTGATCAAAAAAGAATGTTTTGGAATTTTTTTCTGTTTGCAAAGAATTCTCCAAACTTTGAGGGAAATTTTGCAAATAGGAATATAAACATTTTTATTTCATAATTGGAGTATGAATAAAAGTGATTTGGTGGGTGTATTTGCTTTGTAAAAATTCATCAATCTGTATTAGGCATTATCCTCTTTACTGTATGTATGTTGATTCCGATTAAAGACACACTCTTTTCCCCCTACCACCACAAAAAAATCTTTTGTAAGTTCAAAAATTGGAATGTGTGAGGGCCAGAGTCATAGTACAGCAGGTAAGGGCATGCCTTGCATGCGACTGCCACAGGTTCCATCACTGGTACCATATATGGTCCCCCGAGCCCCACCAGGAATGTGAAGCATCATCCCAGCATCTGAGGGAGCGTCGGGCATCATCAGGGATCTTGGTGCATATTAACCTGCTGGGTCCTGAGAGCCCCATGAAGTAGGTTGCTCCAATTGCCTCCCTAGTCAGAGGGAAGGTGGAGGCACAGTGAGTTTGAGTCAGTGGCCTGTATCATTCAGCTGAATATGTGGGGAAGCAGGACACATTGATTGCTCTAGCTGTCTTCTCTCTGGGCACCAGCCATTCTCAGATTGTGATCCAAGAACTCCCCTACATCCCAGCATCTACAGGGGACCCAGAAGGTCTTACCGATGATACTAAGACATGCTGCCTTTTCACTCTCATTCCTTCCGAGCATCCACTGGAATCTTCCAGAGACTGGTATGTCATCACAGCAGATAGAATGCAGAACCAACTTTCTTCTATGAAGTCAGACATCGAAGAGATTTACAACAGGGATTTATATTTTCTCACAAAATGTTCTGTTTTGCAAAATAGTTATGTTTTATACATTATATTGTGTTCACATTGAGCGGGTTTACTGCTATTAGTAAATTAATTATTTAAAAAAATATTTTTGGAGGCCACATATGGCTTTTTCCTGGCCTTGTGCTTGGGGGTCACTTCTGGTGGTGCTTGGGGAACCACGTGTGGTACTAGGGATTGAACCCTGGATGGTGGCATGAAAGGCAAAGGCCTTCACTCTGTCCTATCTCGACAGCTCTCCGTTTCTATTTTAACATGACAAGTGGTTATGGATATCATTCCCTGAAGTATTTTGGGGTGCTCAATAATTTTTTAGAGTGTTAAGGGACACTGAGTCCAAAGGATTTGAGCACCTTAGCCTATATTCTGCCACCTTAAGGGAGCGCTTGTTTTGTGACCAGGAGTAACTGTTGGGTCTTCTCTGAGACCTGAACATAAACTCAATCCTCTGCCACTAACGAACGCCAAAGGCACAAGCTTCCAGTCATAAAAGAAGCAAACCATGGGACATAGAGAATCACATGGTAACTGTAGTTAATAGTTCACTATTGCAGGCCAAAGAGATAGTACGGGGATAAGTCATGTGCCTTGCATGAGGCCAAACCTGGTTTGATCCCTAGTACCATGTATGGTCCCTTGAGCACTGTCAGGAGTAGCGCCTGAGCAACGGGTGGTTATTCCCCCCCCCCCCAATTAAAAATATCCTATTGCATAGTTGAAGGTTTTCCTTTGTGTGGGGGGGAAGGGTTTGGGCCACACTCAGTCTTGCTCAGGAATCCCTCCCAGCTCTGGGCTCTGAGGTCACTTTGTTGATGCTCAAAGGACCATGCAGTGCTTGGGGCCAAACCAGGGTCAGCCCCATGGCACAGCAAGCACCTTATTAACCCCTATACTACCACTCTATTTCATTTGGGAGTTTCTTCAAAATAAGAAAAATATCGTCATCCTAAGAAAAACAAATTTTTTTTTCCTTTTGGGTCACACCCGGCAATGCTCAGGGGTTGGTTACTCCTGGCTCTGTACTCAGGAATAACTCCTGACAGTGCCTGGGGGACCATATGGGATGCTGGGAATCGAACCTGGGTCGGCCACATGCAAGGCAAACGCCCTACCCGCTGTGCTATCACTCCAGCCCCGAAAAAAAAATTTTATAACGATGAGGGGGATGGATATTCATGGGACACACTGTGGCAATCACTCAAAAGATACGCAGATAGCAAATCACTTTGTGAGGCACCGCAAGCGGATGTGATGTCACAGGTGCATCTCTCTCACCACCACCACCACACTAGTCACTATGTAAAGCTCCTCTTTCCTTTTCCCCAGGTCCCCTAGCTTCATGTGACCATGTGGATGAGCAGAGAGAAGAGAGGGGAGGGCCGAGCGCTGAGCTCCTGGGAACTGACCTTGTGTTTCCCACAGGTGATGGACTTCTACTGCCAGTCCTGCGAGACTGCCATGTGTCGGGAGTGTACAGAGGGGGAGCACGCAGAGCACCCCACCGTCCCCCTCAAGGATGTGGTGGAACAGCACAAGGCCTCGCTCCAGGTGCAGCTGGACTCCGTTAACAAAAGGTGTGCACGCCTGCCCGTGTACCAGACTCCGTGTACCAGACTCCGTGTCCCACTATCTGTCTCCCACCCTCCCATCATGCTCCTCCCCTGATGGCAGGTTCATAGACTCAAGCTCATGAGTGATCAGGGAAGCCCGTCTCTAGCCCTTGGCTAGAATTTCAAAGAGCTCTGGTGCCATCTTTGTTTCAGCCTTCTTAGATGATTAGACAAACACAATGCCCTCAAGAAAGGCACTCTCTGAGCTCCACCGAAGCAGGCTCTCTGTCGGCTTCCAGAGCTGCTGTTCTTGACGTCCAGCCCTGTGTGCCAGCAGTGAGCTCAGAGCAGTGGGGCCAAGCCTTGCTTACTCAAAGTCCCTTATCTGCCTCAGCTGCCAGCTTTTCCTTTGGTCGGAAAATGAAGGAACAGAGCCTCCTCCGTGCTGTGCGTGAGAATGCCCGGAGAGGCAAAAGCAACAGCCAGTAAATCTTCCCCCCAGTAGTCATAGTGAAAAGAAGGGTGATTAGCCTAAGTAAAAGAACTTGCTAACTTGCAACCAGTTCCCAGGAAATAGCTTGGGTGAATTTTTCATGGAAGGGGCTGGGGGGCTGGCTTAGCAGTGGAACATTTACCATGCATGTGTGAAACCTGGCTTCCATCCCCAGCAGTGCCCCAAAGATCAATCTTTCATGTGACTGCGGAAAAAAAAAAGATAGAGCACTATATTTAGAATATTGATTCTCAGTCTTTTTTTTTTTTTTTTTTTTTTTGCTTCTTGGGTCACGCCTGGCGATGCACAAGAGTTACTCCTGGTTCATGCACTCAGGAATTACTCCTGGCGGTGCTCGGGGGACCATATGGGATGCTGGGAATCGAACCTGAGTTGGCCGCGTCCAAGGCAAACGCCCTACCTACTGTGCTATCGCTCCAGCCCCTGATTCTCAGTCTTGATATCTATGCTCTAAAGAAATAAAAATAAAAATTGCAAATGCCTAATGTCATTTTGGGGGTCGTAGTTCCAGTGGTAGTGGAATGCTGTTGGCGTCTGATAAAGGTCAGGGTGCTGTAAAGATACTACAGCGCTCAGCACAGTTCTCCTTGTAACCAGAAATTATGCAGCCCAAATATTATGGTGCCAAGGTTGAAAATGCCTGATTTAGAATATGAGTGGGATAGAGGCACTTCCGGTTTATCCTCATAAATGATGAGAGGGACCATCATTTATTTATTCAAGTGAGCTGGCTGTAGTAGCATAAACCAGAAGTGGGCCCTTCCCGTCTCCTCTCTCAAAAGCAAGAGTTCTGCTCTGTCTTAGTCACCTGGTTCTTCCACCCTTTTTAAGGATGATGAAACACGCAGTGTTTGGGGAGAAATGTTGGCATTTAGGTCAGTTTTTCATTCTTTCCAGGTTGTTGTTAAATAATGATACTTTAACAGTCAACTCTCCCCTCCACCCCTCAACCCCCACCCCCACCCCAGGCTCCCAGAAATAGATTCTGCTCTGCAGTTCATCTCGGAAATCATTCATCAGTTAACCAACCAAAAGGCCAGCATCGTGGATGACATCCATTCGACCTTTGACGAGCTCCAGAAGACTCTGAACGTGCGCAAGAGCGTGCTGCTCATGGAACTGGAGGTCAACTACGGCCTCAAACACAAAGTAAGACCCGGACCCTCCGCACATGCGCGCTGGGGTACTCCGGGCACACTGGGCGGCCGCAGTGGACCCTGGTGGGTCCTTCCCTTCTGCTCTCATGCACCACAGTCTAGTTCAGCTCAGCATCATCAATCTTTTTTTTTTTCTTTCCTTCCTGTTTTCACCACCGTTATGATTTTTGTGCCCCAGTACCCCCATATAATTGGATGCAAGGCAGGACAGAAATCTCAAGTAATGCTTTCAGGATGTCAGGTTAAACAGGATTGTGTTCCTTCCCTTAATTACAATGTCTAATAGTCTCTTAATTACTCTCTCTCCCACACCAACCTGTTAGTCAGCTTCCCAGCCAACCCTGACTGTGGACTTTGTTCCACTCGGCACGTCCCAGCCCCTGTCGCAGCCGCCGCCACCTCCTCCTCCTCCACGCCGGGCATGCAGAGCCTCTGCTCTGCAGGGTGGAGCGTTTTTTTTGCGCTGGTTTCTGTTTCTTGTAGGTGGTGACAGAGGAACTACTGGGGTTCAGATGTCAGGCGTAGCCATGGGCTGGCTCCTGGCGGCTGTCAGAGACACATGACCCAGGAAATATGCGTGTAGGAGAGCTGGGGGTGGGGCGGAAGGGAGAGGAAAAAAGACACCGGGGCGTGCAAGCTGGGATTAGGCTGCAGAGCCGGACTCCTGTGCTTTCGTTACGGCAGCCGGGCCTGGAGGGACCCCCACGCTCGGGGGTGGCTGGCTCGGCGGCCAGGTGAAGCCCAGGGGTCCCGTCTCCCGGGGTGGGGGTGGGGTGGCGCAGGGCACCGGCTCGGGCTCACCCCGCCCTGCCCGCCCCCGCTCCAGGTCCTGCAGTCGCAGCTGGATACGCTGCTGGAGGGCCAGGAGAGCATCAAGAGCTGCAGCAACTTCACGGCGCAGGCGCTCAACCATGGCACGGAGACCGAGGTGCTGCTGGTGAAGAAGCAGATGAGCGAGAAGCTGAACGAGCTGGCCGACCAGGACTTCCCGCTGCACCCGCGCGAGAACGACCAGCTGGACTTCATCGTGGAGACCGAGGGGCTCAAGAAGTCCATCCACAACCTGGGCACGATCCTCACCACCAACGCCGTGGCCTCGGAGACGGTGGCCACGGGCGAGGGGCTGCGGCAGACCATCATCGGGCAGCCCATGTCGGTGACCATCACCACCAAGGACAAGGACGGCGAGCTGTGCAAGAGCGGCAACGCCTACCTCACGGCCGAGCTGAGCACGCCCGACGGCAGCGTGGCCGACGGCGAGATCCTGGACAACAAGAACGGCACCTACGAGTTCCTGTACACGGTGCAGAAGGAGGGCGACTTCACGCTCTCGCTGCGGCTCTACGACCAGCACATCCGGGGCAGCCCCTTCAAGCTCAAGGTCATCCGCTCGGCCGACGTGTCCCCCACCACCGAGGGCGTCAAGCGGCGCGTCAAGTCCCCCGGCAGCGGCCACGTGAAGCAGAAAGCCGTGAAAAGACCGGCCAGCATGTACAGCACGGGCAAACGAAAAGAGAATCCCATCGAGGACGATCTGATCTTTCGAGTAGGTAAGGAAGAAAGCAGGCGGCGGCGGCGGCGGCGGCGGGGCTAGACCCCAGCTAATAAGGTCCTGGTTTGTTAACTGGGATCCCCGGGAAGGGCTGCAGGTGCCAGGCGTGGGGGGTGGGTAGGGGGACACTTGCTGCTTGGTCCATGGCAAGGGGCACCGCCTCCCGGGCTTTGCTTATGTGAGCTTCGGCAGGCTTCTCTGGGGTCCTAGGGTTCTTCTCAGCACCCCCTTCCTGTCCCCTCCCTCCCTTTGTCTCTGTAAGGGACAAGTGCTTACCTCCTCAGTGCAGAAACAACGGAAAGGAGGCAAGATAATGAGAAAAAAAAATCACATCAGAGATCTGAACTTTTTCTTTTTTAAAAAATTTTTATTAGTGAAACACCATGAGGTACAGTTGTAGACTTACAAATTTTTGTGCTTGGGTTTCAGTTATACAATGATCGAGTACCCATCCCTCCACCAGTGCCCATTCTCCACCACCACTGATCCCAGTATCCCTCTCCCATCTCCCCGTACCCCCATCCCACCCTGCCAGGACATTCCTTTTTGTTCTCTTTCTCCTTTTGGGTGCTGTGGTTTGCAAAAGAGGCATTGAGTGACAATCATGTTCAGTCTATAGTCTACTTTCAGCATGCATCTCCCATCCTGAGAGGATTCTCCCAACACCCTTTACTTGGTGCTCCCTTCTCTGTCTGAACTGCCTTTTCCCCTAGCGTGTGTGGCTGGCCTCCAAGCTATGGAGTAAACCTCCTGGTACTTATCTCGACTATTCTTGGGTGTTAGTCTCCTATTTTGTTACTTTATGTTCCCCAGATGAATGCAATCTTTCTATGTCCCTCCCTTTCTGACTCATTTCGCTTAACATGATACTTTCCATGTAGTACCACTTGTATGTAAATTTCATGACTTCATCTTTTCTAACAGCTACATAGTACTCCATTGTGTAGATGTACCAAAGTTTCTTTAACTAGTCATCTGTTCTCGGGCACTCAGGTTTTTTCCAGATTCTAGCTTTTGTAAACAGTGCTACAATGAACAAACAAGAGAGATCTGCACTTTTTCAAAGGGGCTTCTGGGGAGTCCTCCCTCCGTGCCCCCATGGGGATTCCCTCACCCCTGTGGGAATGGATTTCAGGCCTTCCTGGCCTGACCCAGAGGCACAGAGATAGCGCTGTCTGATAGCTTTGGAAACCAGCCTGCGGGAGCTGCCCATGGGCAGAGAACTGCATTTCCCTGGCTGCTCCTTGGCAGGGCAGGGCAGCTGGGACGCGGTGGTGGCAAGTTGGGGCACCTCCAGGGGTGTGTAGCCGGAGAACAGCCCCCAGGGAGGGAGAACAGGGTGGCACCTGAGATAAGGGAGTGGCTGGAATGGGGCAGAGGCTCCTTATAAGAGATTGGAGCTTTAGAAGAGAGATTTGGGGTTCTAATAGCCTTGTTTGATTTATTTATTGCCTGGGCCTGGGGAGGGCGGGGGAGGGCGATGGGGGAGCACCCTCAGCAGTGCTCAGGGCTTTCTTCTGGTTCTGTGCTCAGAGATCACTCCTGGTAGTGCTCAGGAGGCCAGTTGAAGTGCAGGTGGTGTTACCAGGGATCACGATGTCTAGCTTGGGCTTCTCTCATGCTAGTCAGGTACTTTAACTCATAAACTATCTCATAGAGTTTTTTTGGGGGGGTCACATCTAGCGATGCACAGGGGTTACTCCTGGCTCTTCACTCAGAAATTACTCCTGGTGGTGCTCGGGGGACCATATGGGATGCTGGGAATTGAACCCTCGTTGACCGTGTGCAAGGCAAACGCTCTACCCTCTGTGCTATCGCTCCAGCCCCTAGATTTTTTTAATTTAATTTTTAAAAATTTTATAAAGTAGTTCACCATATTTGATCACATTTAATATTCGAACACCAATCCCACCACCATTACACCTTCCCACCACCATATTTTGGAAGTTTCCATCCTGAACCCCAACTCTTGCTCCAAAGCAGTACCGAAATAATTTATTTTGTATTATTTGTTATGAAAAACCGCTGAAAATGCTACAAAAAAAATTTCCTTAGTGGGAAGAGCATGAAGATTGTTGTATTTCACCGAGGGGCCATTAAGCTCTTCTGGTTGTTAAATGTTGAGCCTTGTGTGCTTATATATATATATATATATATATATATATACATATATATATATATGTATAAGGTACTTTAACTCATGAACTATCTCATAGAGGTTTTTTTTGGGGGTCACACCCAGCAACGCACAGATATATATATAAATATATATATATATATATCTGTATATCTATATCTATATATCTGTAAAAAAAATTTCCTTCTAAGATTGGTTGCCTCCTACTTTGAACCCCATCCAGTGTGGTAGTCTTGGAGTATGGGTAGGGTGTGTGGTATGAAGTGTCCAGGAATAGGTTCCCTCGTGGGTGAGGCTTGGCCTGAGCGTGTGGAGAGCCGCCGTGAGCATGGTGGCAGTTGAGTTCTGGAGGTTTTCAGCTACCGGGGCTGGGTCCCTTGGGGAGGGGAGGAGTCTCCCCCGCCTTCCGGGGTGCCCCAATGAAACAGCCTGGCTCAGGGTCCGGCGGCAGGGTTATGGTGAGTGTCATGTTATACCCCCTCCGGGAGAGAAGGACATCTCTCTTGTAGATGTTTTGTTTTGTTTTTTAAACTGTTTACTTTCTCGGTAGATCCCAGACTATACAGCATGTGATTGGATTATTCCTTTGTATAAAGTAACTTGGATCAATTGATATTTTTATGAGTCACCCTGTTCAAATGGAATATTCTTTAAAATTTATGATTTTGGGGGGTGGACCAATAGCACAACAGGCAGGGCGTTTGCCTTGCATGTGGCCCACCCAAGTTTGAGTCCCAGCATCCTAAATGGTCCCCTGAGCACTGCCAGTAGTAATTCCTGAGTGCAGAGCCAGGAGTAACCCCTGTGCATTGCCGGGTATGACCCAAAAAGCAAATATATATATATATATATATATGATTTATTGTTGGTTTACTTTGTTTTCATTTTTTGGGGGCACCACACCCAATGGTGCTCAGGGGTTACTCCTGGCTCTGTACTCAGGAATTCTCTTAGGGGTGGTCGGGGGACCATAAGTAATGCCGGGGATCGAACCCGGGTCGGCCGTGTGCAGGGCCGGTGCCCTCCCCACTGTGCTGTGTCGCCGGCCCGTGCAGCTGCCTGCTGGAGAGCAGCCCTTGCCCTTGTCTCAGGTGTCCTTCACGACCCTGGTTTTCCACACTTGAGACACTTGATACCTCCTGCTGTGAATGAGTCACTGTGTCACCCTGATACTGTGCAGGGAAGCAGCTCTGAGTGGGTGTAGGGAAAGCGCGTCCAGCATGGGGGCTGTTTCCTTGAGATGCAGTGATGCTTTTTTCTGGTTTTGGCCAGCCAGAGAGGCGGACTGCCTAGAAGCCGAGTTGGTTTTGTCAGAGACCCAAAAGAAAGCCACAGAACAAAAGCGAGCCAGAGGATGTGGGGGGGAGGGAAAGAATGAACAGCTGACTCGTGTCCAAGTCTGTCATTCACCCCGCATACCTTACTGAGCCTGTGAGGAGCGGGCAATGAGACGCTCCTTTGTTCTTGTGGAACAGGGTGTTTGCTTGTCTGTCAGAGGGCCATATCAAGGGCCTCTCTGAGAGTGCAGAGACTTGACAGACTTTACAAAACATCTCTTCCCTGACACACCTTTGCAAGTCCCCTCCCTCAGATCTGAGAGGAGGGAGAGCATGCTGTGCCCGGTGCGGGGGAGGTCATTGTTGGGACTCTGTGCTCACTCCTGGTGCGCTTCAGCCTAAAAACTCCTGCTGCTGAGGTACGCAGAATGCCAGGCCCTGTGTTCGGTTGCAGAATGTAAGGGCAGGTGGGTCCCAGGGAGCCCTCACACCTGAGTGAGTGAAATGGTTCCAATATCTGGCGATTTCATTTTTTTTTTTCTTTTTGAGTCACACCCGGGGATGCACAGGGGTTACTCCTGGCTCTGCAGTCAGGAATTACTCCTGGAGGTGCTCGAGGGACTATATGGAATGCTGGGAATCAAACCTGGGTCAGCCGTGTGCAAGGCAAACGCCCTACCCGCTGTGCTATCGCTCCAGCCCCAACCCGGTAATTTCAAACAGGAATTTTCTAAGGAACTTTATGATGGAAACAGGATGCATGTGAGGGCAGAGGGCAGTCATCGTTCACTCACAAAACTGATCTGAAGTCTGATTAGAAAGCAGCTTCCTGAGCCCATGCATTACATGCAAAAAACCTGAATTCTGACTGGGACATCTCCTAGACCTCTGAGCACTAGACTTGGAGTAGCGTCCCAGGCACAAGCAGGTGTGGACCAAAAGCCAAAGCAAAAAAGGAAAAAATATTGTATAGATTAGAAAAAAAAAAGATGTGGACCTGAGACATAGTCTAGCGGATAGGGCACTTGCCTTGCACATGGCCAACCAGGTTCAATCCTTGGCACCCCACAAGGGTCCTTGAGTGCAGGCCAGGAGTAAGCCCCGTGCCCAGCCACATGCACCCCCACACACAAAGATTACGTAAAGGAGAGCCAGATTTTATTCTTGACTGTCTTTTTAATGCCTTTATAATGTGTCTAGTTTCAAATTCTTGTCTCTGAAGAGGAATGCTAAGATGAATCCCAAGAACCTACCGGGTGGCTAGAGGGAGTGTGTGAGAAAGTGTGTTTAAGAGTGATGATTTCACGGCCCACTTTAATTTCCCATGATGTCAGACAAGCTCTCACTTACTCAGTTATTATCGCTCCCTTCAGGTCTCTGTTCATTAAGCAAACACGGTGTGTCTTTCGGGTTGCAACTGAAAGTGCTCCTGACCCCGGGCTCAGACATCACTCCAGGTGCTCAGAGGACCATATTTGGTGCCAGGAATTCTAACTGGGGTCTCTCACTTGCAAGCGCCCTACCTCCTGTTCTACCTCTTCAGCCCACAGCAAATATTTTTACACACCTGCTTTGTTAAAGCTTGGTTAGATTCAGCTTCACTGCCCTGCATAGCGCAGATCCAATGAGCATTTACTTTTCTATTTCACCTTAATGTGCAGAGGTCTGGAGGGAAATTGTAGTTTTTGGTTCGCTATTTCACACCAGGGGCGTATGTGATTTCTCTTCTCTCCTGGAACAGGGGTTGAAATGACCAGGGAGTGCAAAGAGAAGCTACTAGCTTGAAAATCCATTTCCTGCCTCAAAGGCTAGCTTAACATCTAGGGAAAACAAGTTAATTACCTTATGAAATTGTGGCCAGATTGTTTTATCATTTCTTTTGAACCTGGTGTTACTCATTTTACTAGCCAAGATGTATCTATCAAATGAACTCTCTCAATCAAAGTAGATGGGAAAAAGTTATATGTGTTTCAAATGTTTTATGATATACTTATTTCTTATGAAAGAACAAGTTTCAGTTACGTATTTAGAATACCTGGGTGGGGTGCTTTTTTATTGATTGAATTGAATTTCTTAATAATCTTAATAAAAATTCCAAATTATTTCTAACTTTTGGAATTTTTTTTTTTGGCAGGGGAGAATTACAAACTTTATGAATTTTTGGACTCTGGGCATTTCAGCATAACATGTTCTAGGTGCTGGGGAAATAGTTTAAGTGGTGGATTGTGTGTCGAGCACGGGCACAGCCCTGAGTGCCAGGGCTACCCCCAGAGCTGAACCTTGAGGCTCCAACTGCTGATGCTCAGGCACCACATAGTGCTGGGGATGGAACCTGGGTGGGTCGTGTGCCAGGAAAGCACTCCAGGTGCTAGACTATCTCCCAGCTTGGTTTTCTTATTTTATTTTATTTGGGAGGTCACACTCGCCAGTGCTCAGGGCTTACTCCTGCCTCTGTGCTCAGGGATCACTCTTGGCAATGCTTGGGGGACCATTTGAGGTGCCAGGGATTGAACCCAGGTCGATCACATAGGAGACAAGTGCCCTGCCCACTGTACGGTCTCCCCGGCCCCCTCTGAATCATACATTAGCTGAAATGGAAAACTTCAACCTTAACCTGGACTTCAGATTGCTTAACTTCTGAGATCTTCTCTTTAATTTTAGGTACCAAAGGCAGAAATAAAGGAGAATTTACAAATCTCCAAGGAGTAGCTGCCTCGACTGGTGGGAAGATATTAATTGCAGACAGTAACAACCAGTGTGTGCAGGTAAGGCCCTGTTTGTACATCCTCAACTACGTATATGGATGATGTAGCTGCCCACTCTCCTCCTTGAGTCTCAAGTGGGAATAGAAGGGCAGTTCACACAGGGGCGTCTGCATTTTCTCTGATAGAATTGACATCTTCTGGCCCCTGCTACATAGGACTGGTGTCCTTGGCTGTTTCTTTTGTACTGATTTCTTTGCACCTTCCCTTTCCAGTGAATGTCATCTCTTTTACAGATCTTTTCCAATGACGGACAGTTCAAAAGCCGTTTTGGCATTCGAGGACGCTCCCCTGGGCAGCTGCAGCGGCCCACGGGTGTGGCGGTCCATCCCAGTGGGGACATCATCATTGCGGATTATGATAATAAGTGGGTTAGCATCTTCTCTTCAGACGGGAAGTTTAAGGTAAGATGAAATGCCAATTCCCACTAAACAAACGGTCAAGAGCAAACACATGGTGGTTGCCTTTTTCTCTTTTGAACATCAAGACAGTCTTCCAACTGAACTCTGCAAAGACATCTTGACATTTTTTATTTCCAGATTTTATGAGTTGAATGCCACAATACTCTCCTAAGTCTCCTTCTGTGCATCCTAAATGTGACTGCATATTGTAAAGTGCTTACATAGCTTGGGTATTTCCCCCCGACTTCAATCAAAGTTTGATTTGCTGCAGGTTTGCAGTCTTAGAAAATGTCAAGGGCACATTTCTTTGCACACAGAGGTGTGTGTGGTTGACACTGCCGGGACCAGCTGGCATAGGTTGACACAGCTTTGTATGGGTTGGCACTGACTGGCAGAGGTTGCTACCGGTTGGTGCTGACCAGCTCAGTCAAATGCCGCTGCACTGTCCACTCTGCTCTTCCTCCCTTTTTACACCTGATCTCTGTCTTATCTCGAAAAACTCACTTCTTGCTGAAATCATCTCCAGATACGTTTCTTCGCTCAGCCAGTCTCAAGGATATGTTGGTGGCTCTGTACTCACAGGGAGCTCCAGAGCATTATAGCATGGCAAAGGCTCTTCTGTAGGATAACATTGGTTTGTCCTTTCTGCCTTGCCCGAGGGAGCTTAGGTTTATTGGGCTACACCCATCGCAGTGCTCCCATTCCTCTATGTTTATCTGTAACCTCTTTCTTTGTGCTCTGCTTCCCCAACTGGTCAGTCACCTTTTTCTCCTAATCAGACTCTGTTAACTTGTAAATATTGCATTTCTCTTCTTCTTAAGTCCTTTGCACAGTTTGTTGAGAGCAATGTCCTTTTTGCATAGACACAGGAAGACAGTTAATGCTATGCTTTTGTAACTTAAGAGTTAATTGACTGAATGATATTCAGTCCTGGGCATCTGTTCTCTGGACTTAAGCCTCAGTTGCCTTTACTTCCTAGGACCCCAAAAGCAAGGTCCCAACAAGGGAATGGATCGACCCAGGGCAATCTGTGAGCTACCCTGGCATCGAAACAGGCCGGACCAAAGTGCCGTAATACTTAACTATAAATTAAGAGCATGGTCATGGACAAATTCTGTCATGAACCCAAAAGTAATGACTGAATTAGGACCCTGCTAGGGTTAGGAAAAATTAATCTGGCCTTAGCACTGTTGTCTGGGATCTATATCAAAATGTCCCCAGGAGAACCACCCTACAAGCTTAATGTATCTCTTACTGTGTCCATACAAAATAACTAATATTAAGAAGTAGAATTAAGATGTTAATTAAGTTATTAAACTAAGGAAAGGAGAAAAAAATAAACCCGAAGTGGCATTTTGCCCTTGAGCCTGATCCCCTGGCTGAAGAGGATCAGGAAGGGCTTTGGTATGTTGACTGTGCTATGGGACCTGGGTGCGTGGCTGCTACTCCGGATGCAGGGGGCCGGGGAGTGATGGGGAGAGATTAGAGAGAGACTAAGGGGGCAAGTGGGAGCCAGAGTGTCCAGAGAGGGAGACAATAGGAGATCGGAATGAGGGACTTAGTGAGATTGGAACAGGCGCGGGCGGGAGAATGGAATAAACGGCAACCGATCAGCAACCAGCCTTGCCCTCCTTTGTCCACTCATGGCATCAGCCGTCCTAGGTGGGGAAGCGGCCCGAGACCACCAAATGCAGAGCCACAGGGTTCCTAGTCGCTTGGTGATTACATACTCTTCAGAGAGGAGAGGACCCACCTTGACATTCCCTAACAGAACCTAACAGAACCGAGCCTTTCGCGGGGAATGGCGAATGGCTGGGGTGTGCCTCCCGTGTGTGGGGCCCTGGGTTTAAACCCTGGCACTGCACAAATCCAGACCAAAAGACCCCCGGGAAGTTGATGATATGAATGTCAACAAAGACCCAACTTATTAGAATCCTGCTCTTCTGCTTGTGAATTGTTTGGCCTTGGGACCATTGGCTAACTTCCTTGGTTCCTGTTATACACTGGGATTTTGAAACGTCTAATTGGTTTGGGGTAAGGATTAAACATGATTTTCTGGATTTTGTGTGAGCCTTGTTTGAAATAGACATGCAAGACATCTTCCTTCCCTTTAATAATCCCCGATAATCCTGCCCTCACTGAAGTCATCTTTGATGGGTGATGATTTGGACCTCAGGGGCTCGTGCTGGCCTTAGGAAGCTGCCATCATTTCCTTGATGATGCGGTTTGCAATGCATTCTGAGATCCTGGGGGTGACACAAAGTTCACATATCGTCATTCTCTTACTGCAGGAATGTATCGCTACAGTCACCTTAGTGACATAACATGGCTATTAACCCTCAGGTTGAGCCTGTCTGCTCTGTATGGGGCAGCATTTTAGCAGTTCAAGAGAACACCTCAATGTTTTTGTTTTCATTTCACACAAATTTTCAATGGCCCCTAATTTTTTTCCCCACTGAAAATTTGATGACTCCATCTGAGGGACATGTACACAGGAGAAGGTCGATTGCTTTTCTAAGTCTCTAACTTCCTCCCCTTCTTATGTGTTTTTTTTCTTTTTGGGTCACACCCGGCGATTCACAGGAGTTACTCCTGGTTCATGCACTCAGGAATTACTCCTGGCGGTGCTTGGGGGACCATATGGGATGCTGGGAATCGAACCTAGGTCGGCTATGTGCAAGGCAAACGCCCTACCCGCTGTGCTATTGCTCCAGCCCTTCTTAATTTTTTTTTGTGATTTTATTTACAATATCAGCTGCCCACATAGGGCATCTTTAACAACAAGAGAATGAAAACTATTAGTGACCTTGAAAATATCCATTTGGTTAGGAGACAGCCCATTTGTTTCTGCTTTATGCATCATTGACGTCATGACTGTGGACCTAAGCAAAGTACAGCAGATCAGGCGCTTGTCTTGCACACGGCTGACTTGAGCTCAGTTCCCAGACCTCATACAGTGCCCTGAGACCACCAGGAATAATTCCTGAGTGCATAGCCACAAGTAACCTCTGAGTACCTCCAGGCATGGCCCCCCCAATTTTTTTTTACTTTTTGGGTCACACCCGGCGATGCACAGGGGTTACTCCTGACTCATGCACTCAGTAATTACTCCTGTTGATCCTCGGGGGACCATATGGGATGCTGGGAATCGAACCTGGGTTGGCCGCGTGCAAGGCAAATGCCCTACTCACTGTGCTATCGCTCCAGCCCCTGGCCCCAAAATTTTAAAAAAACAAAGAAACATGACTTGCCCATTTAAATGGGCAGCTCTTATTCCTCAAACAGGTATTGAAACAGAAGACTTGTAGCAAACATAGTGAAACACATTATATTGAATATCAAACAGACTGAACAATAAAATGGGTCTTTATATTTAAGAGCGAAGGGATTCCTGAGTTCAGCCTTTTTCATTCCATGGCTCTGATTTTTTTCTTTTACTAGATACCCTTCCTGAGACATCTGCATTCTCACAGTTGGGATATTATCAGTAGGAATTGGAATAAACATTAAAGAACTCTCCTGCCCCCTAGTGGACTGGGAGACTGTATGAGAGAATTTCAGTATGCTCCCTCCTCCACTTTGATTTTTGTTTTCCTTTGCTCTAGGTGTTTATCAAACCCAAGTGGTGAACACTTTAGTGTGTAATGGGAACTCATCAGGGTAAGGTCAGGCCATAGGCACGAATATCCCAATTTTCTTTGATGCATTTCAGTAAAATAAACCAGATTACCGGAAAGATAAACCTGTAACATCAGTGCACCTTGGCATTTATCCATATTTCCACAGGGTTCAGGTGTAAAATGGTCTTTTTTATTTCCCTGGGGCAAATCTAATGTGCAAAGCCAAAAGTGATGAGAAGAAAAGGAAGTGAGAAGATTCTGGGTCAACAATGAAGTCTTTTTTTCCCCCCAGAACTGCACTAGTTCTCACCCTGTGATTTATTTTCTGTTTATTCTACATAATTATCATCCACTTGGTATTATATAACTGAGTCATTCTAAGTAATAACCAGTGTTCTAATGAAAGGGAGTAAATAGTCTTGTTTTAATAATGAGTGTGCTCTTCCTTCTGATCTCTGCTGACATATCTACCATTCAGACATGAAAGAAAGTCTACCATTTCTTTACAAGCCATTATGTTACGGCTTCTTTGATCTTTGGGCTACCCTGCAGAACTAGAATCAGAACTGTATGACAGATTCCCTTGAATGAATTCTATTGTTTTCTTCCTAAGTAAATGTGTGTCTTTGTTCTAAGGAGATCAGATGTGAATCTCTGTCATTTATAAACTTAGAGGAGTAGCTAGCTGATCTTACGAAGTCTGAATCCCCACCTGGGTAAAGCCTTCACACATCTTATGTCCCTACGGAGAAAGAAGTTACTCTTAAGGCCCTGGTATCGGGTGAGTTGGGTGAAAAGGAGGAAGAGTTTCTGGGGCCCCTGCCCTGTGTCTGGCCTTTGCCCTTATTCATTGAAATCATTACAGCCCAGGAAATAGCTCTCGTTGTCACCATCTTGTAGAGCAGGAAACTGACATTTAAACTGGCTAAACTGGCAGAAAAAAGAATGAGTTTCACTCTGAAATCTTGATCCATGACTGTAAGAACCATGATGACCTATTGAGAGAATGAAGAAATCAGGAGGTGATAGTTTGGGTTTTCTTTTTCTTTTTTTCTTTTCTCATACTAGATATGGTGATTCATTTGGTTTCACACTGGTTGAGTTCAAGGTGATGATTAATGAAGCAGGTCATGGCTCAAGATGGGGATATGTAAAAATGAATTTGACAGCATAACTTAGATCTTAGAAGTATGTGGAGTTTTCGATTCATTAAAAATAGCTGTGAAGGTCACTCAATACCTCTATTGCAATCCACAACCCCCTAAAGGAAATAGAGCGCAAAAGGGAATGCCCTGCCATAGAGGTGGGGCAGGGTGGGAGGGGGTGGGCGATGGGAGGGCTTCTGGGTTCATTGGTGGAGAGATGGGTACTTGATCATTGTATAACTGAAACCCAAACATGAAAGTTTATAAGTCTACAATTGTACCTCATGGTGTTTCACTAATTAAAAAAAAATTAAAATAAAAAATAAAAGCTGTGAATCTCATGAAGCTGTCAACTTTTTGAAATGGGACTTGCCAGAAGTTGTGCTCTGAGTACAAAGCTTGCACTGAATTTTCCAGCTATGTCATTGAGAATTTTCCTATTATGTTGAAATATTAACCTTTAGATATATTGAATTGCATGCAATATGTACTTAATTGGTTTTCCTTGTTTCTATTTATTAGGTATGGCTACTAGAAAATCTAAGCTCACGTTGTATTTGTCTATAGCACTAATTAGAAAATAAGAGGGCTAAGACTTGGTGTGTTTTCAAGATTATCCTTTAATAATGCTAACTTTTTAATTATATTATTTTTATAGTAATTCTCATTTTTAAATGAACATATTCAACAACTATTAGTGAAGTACCTTATTAGGCACCAAAAAGTGTGCTATTATGCTGGAATCACAGTGCTGGAATCAATTTAATTCCAGTGAAGTTTAGTAGCAGATTTAATTATAATATAAAATAACATCAATTATAGCTTCCTTCAACTATGGCCTAATATGCGTTACACTTTCCATCAAACACTTTGCTTAATATCTATATCTGAAATGCTACTGAAAGTTACTAAAACTGTTTTTGGCTTTTGTATTGTCTCGGGGTCACACCCAGCAGTGCTCAGGGCAGTGTTCCTAGCAGGGCTCCTGGGAGACCATATGGGGTTCCAGGAATCAAACTGGGGTTAGCCATGTGCAAGGCAAGTGCTCACCCTCCTCACTATTGCTTTGGCCCCTCAGGGTTTTTTTCTGACATTTAAAGAAATACATATGAACAGGGGTTGTAACTCAGTCACAGGTAGAGTACATGTCTTAAATGGAAGGGTCACTGGGTTTGTGGGTCAGGGCGGTAGTGTAATGGTTAAGTCACCTACATGCAGCTGCAGCCATGACCAGAATCCCAGCGTTTCATATGGACAGCCTTGAACCATCAGGTGTGACCCCTGACTATCACTGGGTCTGGCCCAGAAGCTAAGAAGAGAGACTCTGGGCTGGGTCTTCATTTTCTGTGAAGAATGTGTGTGAGGGAGAGGTTTATAGTTATAGATATATATTATATATTCATTGTAACCTGGGCTGGAGCGATAGCACAATGGTAGGGCGTTTGCCTTGCACGCAGCCAGCCCAGCCGACCTGGATTCGATTCCTCCTCGGGTAGCCTGGAAAGCTACCCGTGAGGTATTCGATATGCCAAACACAGTAACAGCAAGTCTCACAATGGAGACTTTACTGGGCCTGCTCGAGCAAATTGATGAACATGATTGAACACTATTGAACACCAAGAGCTGACTCTTTTTTTTTTTAAAGTCTTGTCTAAATGTTCCAATCTTTCACGTTTTCTTCCTGTGTTTTTTTTTTTTCTCACCCTTAACAGACAAAAATTGGATCTGGAAAGTTGATGGGTCCCAAAGGAGTGTCCGTGGACCGCAACGGGCACATAATTGTGGTGGATAACAAGGCGTGCTGCGTGTTTATCTTCCAGCCCAATGGGAAGATAGTCACCAGGTTTGGTAGCCGAGGAAATGGGGACAGGCAGTTTGCAGGTACACTCGATGGTAATACGTACACCCCCTTTTCTATGCCTCTTCTGCTCACGTTTGCATGAAGCCGGCGCATGCCGCAGATGCCTCCTCCCCAGTGCGCCCACTGGGGCAGGACCGACGCTCACGCATGGGTCGCTGCGTTGGGGAACCCCTCCTGCGGAAGTGGGTCTGCAGGACTGGGGTGCGGGGGGTGGCGAATGGCAACCTCCAGCTCCTAAGTCTAGTCTCGCCCTGTTAAGATCAGATAAGACAAGGATTTTAAGAGAAGTTTTTTTTTTTTTTATAAGCAAAATATAGAGCAGCGGAGTGTCTCCAACTGTCGCTCGCTGCTGAGAGCCTCCCCGACAGAGTCCAGGTGACTCGGAAGGGTTCAGGGGTTTGCTGAGTCCAGGAAAGTGTCTGTTCCTTCCGGTGCATCATCTTGCAGCCACAAGCTTCCTTTGTTTTCACATCTGCAAGAGCCGAGGCGGAAAACCACTGATTCTGTTTTCTTTCTGAAAAGATGCTTCGGGTCCTTAATTTGCATCATCTTATTGCTTTGTTTCCAGTTCTGCCAGGTTCTGAAGATCACCCCCAATAAGTGAAGGTTTTCTGCTCCCCTTGAAAAAAAAATTAATAAGTGACATCCCTGAGTCTCTCTTTCTCCCCCAATGCTAAGAGTTCCCATGCCTTTTCCTGGGCAGAAGCTGAGAACATTACAGAAAACCAGCACTGGGGGAATCCTGGCAGATGGGGCATGGAAAATGAATTCTGACGCTTACTCATTCCACCTCACTGGGGCTGCTGGAGCCCTCAGCTTCTCAAGGTTCAAGGACTCAGGGTAGAAGGCCACAGTGCAGAGACACTGAGACCCCCATGTTCTGTGGAGCCAGCACCGAACCCAGGGCTCTCTTGGTGGCGAACTGATTCGTTGTTCTTGTTTCCAAAATTAGGCTCCTCTATTATAAGTTTTGTAACTGTTGTGTTGTTATCATTTTTGTGGCTATGGTTTTTATCTCTCTTTTCCTATCTTTTTTTGCAGGTCCCCATTTTGCAGCTGTAAATAGCAATAATGAGATTATTGTTACAGATTTCCATAATCATTCTGTCAAGGTACTATCAATAGTGAACTTTATTTTTTAATGGGAGTAACAGTGGCTTAAAGAGTGTAAATTGTTTCAGGGATACAGTATTAATAGCCAGACCATATCCACCAGCCAGTACCAGTACCCCACACCACTGTCCATTGTTCCCTATACACAAGTACACTCTCTCTCTCTCTCACTCTCTCTCTCTCTCTTCTCTCTCTCTCTCCTCTCTCTCTCTCTCTCTCCTCTTTCTCCTCTCCTCTCCTCTCCTCTCTCTCTCTCTCCGTGCAAAGCAAACGCTTTACCTGCTATACAATTCCTCTGGCCTGACTTTGTTACTTTATACACCACATATGGATTCAATCTTGCAATGTTTAGAAACAATCTAAGTGGCCAGTGACTAAGAGCAGATAAAGAAGTTGTTCCTTGTATACATAATATATGAAATAATGTGTAGCTACATGCAAAGGTGCCTTTTATTTATTTATTTTTTATTTTGGACGACACAGATGGAACTAGAGGGTGTTGTGTTAAGCAGAACAGGTTAGAGGAAAAAGACAAGTACAGATGAATTATCATTACTCCCCCCCATCCCCCACCCCCAATGGAGCCACACCGGGTGATGCTCAGTGTTATTCCTGTCCCTGCACTCAGAGATCACTCCTGGCAGGCTTGGGGTCCTGGAGATCAAACCTGGGTCAGCTGCATGCAAGGCAAGCAATCCTACTCTCTGTACTATTGCTCCAGCCCCTTAATTATTATTACTTTCACTTTATTTATGGAGGTGCCAATTTAGGGGGAAATGGTGTAATAAATAACATACTTAAGACCTAAAGTGGTTGGCCTGAAGAGTATATTTTGCTGCTTCTCCATAATAAAAAATACAGCCTTCAGTAACCCAAAATTGAACAAAACATGATGACAATAGGTTTCTTAATTTGAAACAGGTATGAATGGAGATGACTTGAAAGTTAATTGAAAAGCAACTACTTGGCCACTTGCTTTTCAACTTGGAAGAAAAGCACTTCCTGAAGCCACAATATTTTGTGGCTGTTCGGTAAATTAAGACTAGATCATTTTTCCAACTTTCTGCATCACGCCTTTAAAACAAAATTCAATATTAAACTATGCTACAGTAGATCTAGGTGGGAAAATTGTCCCAGGATATTTACCTATCACATATTTCATACTTTTGACAAGAATAGCTTGGTGGGTAGAATGCTTGTCTTGCATGTGTTTGACCCAGAGTTCAATCATTGGCAACACACATGCATGCACTCTGAGCGAGAATATATTTTATAGTTTTTGATGCTTTCATACAGTTAATATTACCTAGGAAACATTATTTCCTCCCCCTAATTATACAGTGTGTTCTTACTTGCCCATCTACTTTTTTTTTTCCTTTCATTTTTGGGCCTCACTCAGAAGTGTTCAAGGTTTACTCCTGCCTCTGTGCTCAGGGATCATTCTTGACAGGCTCAGGGGACCATGTGAGGTGCTGCCGATAGAATCTGGATTAGTTACGTGCAAGCCACACACCTTACGAGCTGCATTATCATCATGCTGGCTGTTCTTAACTTGAAAGGGAAGCAACATTCAACCTTTGTGGTGTGCTATTGAGGAAATAGCAAACCGTAATTTGTCTGGCATTGAAACAAAATGTTTGGTGAAAAAAATAAAAGGAGGGGCAGAGGTTCAAGCACTTGCCTTGCATGCTGCAGACTCCCATTCAGTCCCTGGCACTCCAATCCCCTGAGCACCTCCAGGAAGGATCCTTGAGCACAGAGCCAGAAGTAAGCCCTAAGCACTTCTGTGTATGGCCCAAAAGACCAAAAACTAACAACAACAACAAAAAACTCAAAAAGATACTATCAGTGGTGATAAGTGGAATGGCTGGGTAAGGGATCAGATTTATATCACCTACAGGTACTTGCTCTTCTGTTTCCTGGAAGAATCTTAAGCCTGAGTGAAAGGAAAATCCCTGAGCTTTGTTAAAGGGATACCAAGTCCCAGAGCCATGGTGGGCCATGAGGATGGGACCAAGGGGAAAGGAAGCCACAGCAGCTGCTATCTAGCTGCCTTCTGGTCTCTGCAGCATTTGGGTAGAGTCTGTCCACACCCCCCCAACCCCCCTTTAACCCTCCCTAAGGGAGGAGTCTTGAGGACGATGGGAAAAGTCAACAGCAGAGTAGGAGCCTTTGAGAAGAGAGAGAGATAGGAAGTGGGGGCTGGACTCTTGCTGTCCTGTGGGTATGCACAGCTATAACAGGCTAAAACTGCTGTCCTTCTTTCACTTTGTAAAAGGACACATTTATTTAAACATAGGGGCATTCAGTAAGAAAGAAACCCCATAGAGCTGCCAGACCACAAAGCCAGCGAAGCCTAATCCCCAGCAGGAATGATCACTTATTTGGTACCAGATCGCTTTATTGTACCTAAGACTGTGACTTAGGACTTCCTGGCAGTGTTTGGGGACTCTGTGGCATCAGGGATTGTACTGGGGTGATCCACAAGCCAAACAAGGGCTTAACCCCTGTACTATCTCTCCAGTCAGAAGGATTTAGAAAACATGCTGTCATAGTAAAAGCCTGTTCTTGGCTGTCCTTTCCAAAGAACCAAACAGGTCATACCTCCTTGGCAGGTGTGTCATTAACTCGGGAAGTGATCATAACTCCTCACGTCAAGTAAGCTTAGCCGTCACACATGGATGTGCCTCATTTTCTTCCTGTACTTACAAGAGAGACATTTTAACCTTTAGGAATTGGAGAGGAAAACAATAGAGTCTGAAAAATCCCGAGGACATTCTTAAAATTGGCTCTGGGCCTGTTTTATAATAAACTCTCGGCTCTATATTTAGAAACCATTATTCTCGTAGTTTCCCCCTTCCCCCATGAGAATGAATTTGTGAATATATCTACACACGCAGCCAACATGATAATAAAAAATGTCAGTAATCTCCTGGAGACATTGCAAAGCCATTAAGCATCATCTGAGTCCAGGTGATGAATTATAGGCCTGGATAAAGTTATATATTTTTAATCATTAAACACATAATCAGATTTTAATTCTCTTAAGTTAATCGTCTCTATTTGGTTTGTAAATGGTAACACTAAATAATTGATGGGGTTGGAGAGAGAGAGAACAGTGGGTAAGGCACTTACCTTGCATGTGGCCCACCTAGGGTCTATCCCAACATGGCATAGAGCCTCCCAACCAGCCAGGACTGGTTCTGAGCATTGCCAGGTGTGGCCCCAAAAGCAAACAATGAGCTTAAGCTTGATTAACCACAACAGTCTTTTGCTTGCCCAGAAGAATCACATGCTAGAGCATTTGCGTAAAAGTTCTTTTTAGGGGCTGGAGCAATAGCACAGAGGGTAGGGCATTTGCCTTGCACGCGGCCGACCCGGGTTCGATTCCCAGCATCCCATATGGTCCCCTGAGCACCGCTAGGAGTAAATCCTGAGTGCATGAGCCAGGAGTAACCCCTGTGTATCGCAGGGTGTGACCCAAAAAACGGAATTAAAAAAAAGGTCCTTTGTTCTTTTTAACACATCTTCTGCCCACCCCTCTTCATTCCCAACGGTCTCCCTTTGGATCTATAAACTCTTAATTTACCTAAAATACATTCAGAATATATAAGCCGCCTTCTCACTCCCCATCCCCTCAGCTAGCCTAACAGAAAACTGATTCAACTCTGAGTGATCACCCTTTCTGTAAGGAACGCAATATCCATTCTTGAAACTTAGCTATTTAAAGGCAGAAGGAATTTTCCTGAAAAGTATAGCTCTGCTTACTCATACCACCCTATATTTGTTTATATGTCATCATTTATAAGGAGTATATTTTAATATAAATATCTAATAACCAGAGATGCACTTGAAATATCCAGTATATCCTATGGACTTAATACATTGGAAAACCACAGTGATATGAAAGCCTAGTTTGTACTATTTTTTTCATTTTTCATTTTTTCATCATCCTGTTATTCGTCGATTGCCTCGAGCAGGCCCCAGTAACGTCTCTTTCATCCTAGCCCTGAGATTATATTCAAGGCTCTTTAGGAGAATGAGACCCATCATTGTTATTGGTATTTGGCATATTTGGTACGCCACGGGGAGTTTGCCAGACTCTGCCCTGTGGGCAGGCTACATTCGATAGCCTGCAAGTTTGTCCAAAGTAGGAATGAGACAATAAGATGTCATAAAAAAAAGTCCTGATAAGATGTCACGCGGCCCTGAATGCGGCCGCGCGGTTCCAGGATCTGGATTTTATAGTCTCTGAGTCTTGGCCGCTGATGGGATTACACGGCACCAGGGGGCCAGGTGGTGGGTGTGACCCCTGCCTACTGGAACTTGGAGGATCTGGGTGGAAGATGCTCGACTCCAATCCGAGTAGGCTTGGAGGTCTCGGCCCCGGAACCCGCGTGGCTTTGTCCCTCTGCCAGTACCTCTGCCAGTATTCTTTTATAAAAAGAATATCTGTGTCATAGGTCTTGTTAAAAGTAACCTGCTCAGAGAGATGTTTTTAAAATTCTTAAGACTACGCCACTGTTTTCATTTGAAGCAATGTTAAAATCTCCATACAGGTATTTAATCAGGAAGGAGAATTCATGTTGAAGTTTGGCTCAAATGGAGAAGGGAACGGGCAGTTCAATGCTCCCACTGGCGTGGCCGTGGACTCCAATGGAAACATCATCGTGGCTGACTGGGGCAACAGCAGGATCCAGGTAGGTGAAAATGCTAATTTATTACTTGGAGAAAGTGGGATTGGTTGAAGGTAAAACTGGGCCATCCCCCACGCATGCCTTCCAAGCCTCACTGGTTAGATCATAAAACCATAGATAACCTCACCAGAAGAACCAGACTAAGGAAGCTGGCATAGAAAAATCTAATCATGAGGATTGGAGAGATCGTACGGCAGGTAGGGCACTTGCCTTGCATGCAGCTGACTTGGGTTCAATCTCTGGCACTACATATGGTTCCTGGAGCCCAGCCAGGCGTGATCCCTTGTCATTCTAACACACTGGGTCCGAGGAACCAGCAAGACAGCCGACTGTGACAGTCCACCCAACCCCACCCGTTCCACACCAGACAGCCCCTAGAGGGAGAATGAGTACACAGAGCCGTGTGAAAAGACAAGACATATAAAGACAAGACAAGGTCTATATACCTTAAGAGAAAGGGGAGAACAATGGTTGGACACCTTTCGGGGGGGATTTCTGCACTGGCCCAAAGCAGTCAAACAAGGCGTTCTGGTTTCTTATTCTCCCCAACCGGCTGGCAATTAGCTTGCTCAATGGTCCCCAACCTTTGGCTGGACATTGCGTTTGAAGGAGGGAGGGAGGAGTCGCTGCTGGGACCATATGGAGTGCCTGGGAACCCTACGGAGTCAGCTGTGAGCATGGGAAGCGCCTTACCGACTGTACTAGCTCTCTGACCCAACACATGTACTTTGTTGGTTTGTTTTGGTTTTGTGCAAAACCTGTGGCTGTGCTCCAGTCTTCCTCTTAGCTCTGTGCTTAGGGATTATGGGGCACTGCAGGGGACAATTGGGGGAACAGCCCTGGAGACTTGACCCAAGCAGTAGACAGCCCCTCCCCGGCGGGGACTTCTCCCTCCCTCCTCAGACAGTGAGTGAGGTGATTGGCGGCCCTTTGAAGCTCTGCTGGGTGCTACTGCTGTTTAAAACCCTCTCTGAGGCCAACAGAACATTCCAAAGAAGCCTGTTTGGGCCTTGTGAGAAAATGTTCCTTCTATTTTATCCTAGCTGAAGCTTACAAATGAAAAGGATATCACCTCCTTCCCACATGGGAATGTGGAACCCATATCCTTCCTTAGAAGGAAAAAATGCTCCGTCTTCTCATGACCTGCTGTGATTTAGGACCATTCTTCGGTAGTTTCATTGTTTTTCTCTCTGATTGAGTGTTGGGGATAATTGGGGGAACGGTTATCCTCAACAAGTGAGGACAAAAGATAGATGTGAGGGCCTGGGCTTTGGCTCAGAGGTAGAACTCATATCTCTTAAGTGTGAGGCCCTGAGTTCAATCCCCAGCACCCCTCATCAAAAGAAAAAAAAGAGGGACTGGAGTGCAGCAGGTAGGGCATTTGCCTTGCACACGGCCAACCTGAGTTTGATCCCTGGCATCCCATTTAGTTCCCTAAGCACCACCAGGAGTAATTCCTGAGTGCAAAAGCAGGAGCATCGCTGGGTGTGACACAAAAAGCAAAAAAAAAAAAAAAAGAAAAAAGGAAAAGAAGAAATATTAAGAATGGAAATAGGAGGGACGCTTAGAAATAAAGGTCATTTATTTTTCAAGCACCATCAAGGTAATTCTTATCAAACATAACCATGTAAGAATATGAGACATGACAACCAAGGACACTTTCAATACCATTGACTCTGAGGCATAGAGCGAGGAAAGAGAAAAAGCCAGGGAGGGTTGGAGAGATAATACAGCAAGGAAGGCAATTGTCTTACTTGTAGTTGATCTGGTTCAATCTTTAGCATCCCATATGGTTCCCAAGCACTGCTAGTAGTTCCTGAGTACAGACCAAGAGTTATCCCTGAGTAGGTAATGGAGACAGAGAGAGATTTTATGTCCATATGACAAGACTTAAGGAAACTTTAGGGGTTGATGTCACACTCAGGTTTGATGTCAGAAATCCTGGCATTGTGGCATCAGGTTTTCTGACCTGGGCTGTTACTGTCACACTCTGCATTTCCACAGGTCTTTGATGGAAGCGGATCATTCCTGTCCTACATCAACACATCTGCTGACCCACTCTATGGTCCCCAAGGCCTAGCGCTGACTTCAGATGGCCATGTGGTGGTGGCCGACTCTGGAAACCACTGTTTCAAGGTTTACCGGTACTTACAGTAACCATGGGAACTGAGCGCCCCTTGGCAAAGGTCTTGCACTATAAATTGGAATGGATTTCTCAACGCGGGACCAGATGATACTAGACTTTTCATGCTAGAAGGAAACAGTGAACTTTCCAAGGTTATTTCTAGGTTAACACCTTTCAAAATGGAGTATCTGATTTTCCTAAAGGTAATTCACCTTTAGGGTTAAAAAAAATAGCAACAAAAAGAAATCCTTCCACTGACTCTATGAAAACCGCTGTTGTACCCCTGTGAACTCTGGCTGATCCAGGGATTTATGTAGTCTAATTTTGCAAATCAAACAAGCATTAAAGAAAAAAAACAAACCACACTAGAATATTTAAAGGTCTTTGTTCATCCTGTGAACGGTGGCTTTTGCACAGAGCTTCCAGAAGACAAAACAAAAACAAAATCTCTTCTACTTCTGTACTTGACTGAACCTCGATCACAAGACTGTGGGATTGTCTAGCCTCACTTTTCTAGTAGGTATTACTCTTGTGACATTTTTTGGTTATCAATAACTACTCTGACTTTACGGGGGACAAAAAGACTGGCAAAATCCTCCCAGCTCTGATTTAACAGGCCTTTTGAGTTTCACGCTTATGAATCAATGCAAAAATTTTCATCCTTTCTGGGTTAGATCTCACAAATCCTTTCTGTTATAGTTCTTTTTACCTTCTCTTAACTGCTTACCGTTTATCCAAAAAAAAAAAAAGTACATTTTCAGGGCAGCCTGAAATTTCTAATGCTTTGAAAAGCATAATACAATCGTAACTACCTTTTGGTCCACAAACAGCGCCATTGGCTCTGAATGTAAACCAGAACAAAACTAGTCATGTTTTCTGTGCTATGTTCTCACCTGTGTCTCTCTTCTTCCACTTCATGAAAGCGAGAGCTTTACCTCCTGCAAAATGTCAGCACATGGAGTAGGACACCCGAATCCTAGGACAGAGAGCCATACGGAGCCCTTTGGAGGACGGACGGTGTCAACCAAAGGCATGTGATTGATTAATGATTTCCCCTTAGAAAGCAAGTGTTACCAAAGTTGTGTTAACTTGAAAATGTTACAGATAAGGGCATGTTATGGTTATTTATCATTGTCTAATGAATAGTAGAGGCATTAAAGGGTTATGTATACACGAATAGGGTAAGGTAGGATGTATCATAAATATATAAGCAGATATATAGAGCTGAATCTTTGGTGTATTGAACTAGGCAGCACTCTGAAAGACAGAAGCATGGTCCAGCCTTTCTCAGCACAGACTTGACTGCGCAGTAGATCTGTCCCAATCAATCGACAAGGTCGCCACTTTCCGGGAATGATGGCCGCAGCTGACTTGTATTCCAGAAAACGGCCTCCTTTGCTTCCAAAACATTCACAACAAAGAAACCAAAACAGGTCAAAAGAAAAGCTGAACTTGAGTTACCCTTCATCTGAGCTAAATATGAATGCATTTAGTCGATCTGTCATAGATACTGTATAATAAGATGTGGTCTGATTCCACTTTAATTTTCTACTCAGTTCTACCAAATAGGATGTCATGTTTGGCATTTTCGATAATGAACTTTAGGATCTTTTTCACTGAAAGCACCTTAGAACTGATCTATAAGGAAACTTTTCCCCATCTGTATAATGATATGAGTACAACATGCACTGCTTACTCATTTATAATTCGGGCACTCTTGTGTAGGACTTTTTTAAACTTCGAAGGAAAATCTGGCTGCTTTTAGTTTTGTCTATCAAATTTATTATAACCTAGTCCACCTCTAGTGGGGGGAAAGGTTTTTCAGAAAGACACACATTTAGGCTAAGTAATTTTCGTGTTTTAGGTCTTATTTTCAAAAGATTGGAGTCTGTGATAAGCTAAAACATTTATTTGCAGAACACTAAACTAAGGGAGCCAGAGCAATAGTACAGCCGGTCAGGCTCTTGCACTCAGCCAACCTGGGTTCGAGCCCCACATTCTATACGGTCCCCCGAGCACCGCCAGGAGGAATTCCTGAGTGCAGAGCCAAAAAGAATGTTAAATTGATATGCTGTTTTCTAATGTCAGTGAAATGACACTTTGAATTTCCACATCCATACTGAATGAGTAGCTGCTAGGTGTCAGATGGGGGGAAAAAAAAAACAGCTAAGGATCCCACCCCCAGCTAACATTCTGCCTTAGAGATAAGCACTAAGGGGCCCCTCTTGGTGTGTGTGGACCCTCCTGGCAGTGTTCAGAGCTCTTTGCAGTGATGGATTTGAACCTGCGCTCCTGCATGTAAAGCCTGTGCTGTAGCTTGGTCAGCTCTTTCCTTAGCCCAAAGCTAGACTTTTGATTACTCCTAGTTTCAGAGAAAATTTATTAACTCGGTTAATTTAAGAGCTTGGGTTTTGTTTGTTTGTTTTTGTCCCCCACATGTAAAAATGACTTCCTATTTGGATTCCTTTACAGGATACTAATCTATCAATTGCGTAAAGGGGATTTTTAGTATAGTGTTTAAATTTTTTATGAATTAAAAAATTAACCATCCATCATAATATCTTAGGCTGGATATCTTAGAAACTGGAATGAAAGACTAGATGCTTTGATTTAGTCCTGATATTTATTACCTACTTGCTATGGGCACTCCACCAAATACTATATTTTCCCCCCAAATATATAATCATATGTGTTAAAGTGTAGAGAACATTTCACATTTGGGTACGTAGGTGCGTTTGCTGTATAGCTCGGTTAGTAAGCATATCTGGGGGAGGGGAAAGTGCTGCTGTTAGGCTATGACTAGACAAGATTTAAAGGAAAATTGGTCCCATTCTGTGGAAAACGGTTTCCGGTCAACTGAGAAGGGTATTAAAATAAGTGACTTTTGTTTTTCTGGGCTCCTGTTATTGTTTGCATTCTCTTTGTCAAGTGTACAGAACTGTCAGACATTCATGATAAGTAGCACTGAAAAATTACCCATTCAAATTTCCCCTGGGCACTTCTGGCAAAATTTTGCCAGTTAGAATGTAAAGGTCAGTGACAGTTCATTTCTCTCCCTCAAAAGGCCTCCCCTGCTGGACACGGGGAGGTAGCCACTCACCTGACCATCCAGAAATAGACTAAAAAAGCCTTTATGACTGTTCATCCTTTTTTTTTTTCCCAATGGTACCTAGTGGTTTTTTTTTTTAACCAAATTTTACTCTCCAGTAACCAATCAAGTCCCCAAGTTTCCTGATTTTTATTTACTCTTTAACACGATTCAAAACAAATAAATATTACAAGTCCATATAACTGGAATACACTTGCTTCTGCTATAAGTATACAGGGTATTTCCTATCACGGAGCTAACTGGAACTGCAGCACGCCCACAAGCATCTGGATGCTCGCTTTGAAGTTTCAGTCATATGTACTGAATTCATTGGAAGAATCGGCGAATGAACGGCAGATAATCTGCAAAGTACTTCCAGTGGGAAAATCTTTCTGAACATGTGGACTCTATGTAGCCTCTCTGCACTTCTGAAAAGGGAGTTTTAGTTTATCAATTTAGTTCATCGATTTGAAAACGAAACATTACCAAGTAGGACAAAAATAAGTATTTTGGCAAACATCATCTCATTTTGCTTCAGATTCATAAAACTTAAAAATTGTAATAAGGTCACTGTCTGTAAATGTTGCAGGGTTTAAACTTTACAATTACTTTGCTATTTTTGATAACTAGAAATCTAGTATTGCCATAAAGGAAACTAAGTGCCCATTAAAGATTTGTTTGGTATAAATGAATAATTTTTTTTATTTTGTTTTTAAAAGACAGTAAGCTACAAATCATGATGTTATCTTAAACTTTCCGAAGGTGAATTGTGTGGCAGTGGTCGTGTGGTTTGTTTGTGGGGAATGTATGAAAGCTATTACTATTCTAAAATAAAGAAATTGGCTATGTTGTTCCAATGAATGTACAGCGCCTCCATTAACTTTTGAAAGCAACACAGCCTTAAACTCAATGCGTTTGCTTTATGACATGGGAATGTTTGTCATCAATAGTGTATTCTTATAATAGAATTCTTTATATCATTCTCAATTCTCTAGCCTTTCAAGCTTAGGTATGAAAATGAAGGGATTTCGCTTCCTTTTTTTTTTTAAGACTTTGTACATTCCATCTTTATAGATCTGTTTCATACTTTTTGTGTATAGAACACTAAGTCTCATGCTCTCTGACACTGATACTTATATAGTCTCATCATTTGTTCTTTTATGAATCAAAATGCTGACTGCTGATTTAAAGAAAAGAATGAATGCTGTGCATCAAAGTGTTTGTATGTTCGTAGCTACATACGTACCACAGTATTTTGGATGCTTTAGTCAACAATAAAAATTTAAATTAATTCTGTCTTGAAACAGGAGAAACAAGATTCATGTGTATATCTTTATCATGCACAAAATCCCAAATCATTATAATAAAGCTTGTTTTCTCCATTTCTGGGTGAATGCCTATTTATGTAGTGATATTTTCTTTTTTATTTTATTTTTTTTTAGTGAAGGCAAAGCAGTCTTTTAGAATATGTGGAAGCCATCAAACCTCAAATGAGTTGTTTATTCTAGTGAGAAAAAAACAGTAAACTAAAAAATTGTTTTGGTGCTAATAATCTGTCAACATTTGGATATATCTTAAACAGGAATTGAAAAAAACATGAGATTTGTATATGGCATATGCATTTAGATGGTCAAATGGAGTCAAATCACCATCCAACTAATCCTTCAAAAATCACAAGCCGGCAGCTGGAGCAATAGCACAACGGGTAGGGGTTTGCCTTGCACGCGGCCGACCCGGGTTCGAATCCCAGCATCCCATATGGTCCCCTGAGCACCGCCAAGAGTAATTCCTGAGTGCAGAACCAGGAGTAACCCCTGAGCATCGCTGGGAGTGACCCAAAAAGCAAAAAAAAATCACAAGCCAAAGAGACCTTCTGGCAGTCATGGCCAATATTTATCTTGTGAGTGAAGCTCTAGAGAAAAAACTCACTATAAAGTGTCTTTAGGGCCCAAAATCAAGTTAGAAAGAAATTCATTACAATATGTCACTGTCACTGTCACTGTTCTCCCGTTGTTCATCGATTTGCTTGAGCGGGCCCAGTAACGTCTCCATCATGAGACTTTGTTGTTACTGTATTTGGCATATCAGTACATCACGGGTAGCTTGCCAGGCTCTGCCGTGCAGGTGAGATACTCTCGGTAGCTTGCAGGTGGAATGCTGAGAGGGGCGGAGGAATCGAACTTGGGTCGGCCATGTTGGCTGCGTGCAAGGCAAACGCCCTACCACTCTGCTATCGCTCCTATTATGCTATGCATTTTAAGCAGGATGCAAACCATTTAGAGAACAAGTCTCGCACAGTTCCTTGAAGCTTGGGTGTTTTTTTGTTTTTGTGTTTGTTTTGAATTACACCCAGCGATGCACAGGGGGTACTCTTGGCTCATGCACTCAGGAATTACTCCTGACGCTACCCAGGGGACCATATGGGATGCTGGTAATCGAACCCGGGTCTTCGGCAGCATGCAATGCAAACGCCCTACCCGCTGTGCTACCACTCCAGCCCCAGCAAGGTAGTTTTTATTGAATTAAACTTGCTCAGAAATATGTTGGGGGGGGGGGGGAGTACATGTTCAAGAGAGATCATGGGCTCCTCCAGAGTGGGAAATAAGCAAGCAAAGAAACAACCAAGTGAGATACGTGTTCAAGGGAGAACCTTGGCTTGAACAGCAAGCCTGGAGATTGCATTTTTGGTATGTTTTGGGACCATGCTGACGATGCTTAGGGGTTACTCCTAGTTCTGCACTCAGGAATCACTCCTCGCAGTGTATTTTAAAGGAATCTGACAGGGACAAGAGCACTAGTACAGCAGGTGGAATGCTTGCCTTACAGGCAACTAACCAGGGTTCAATCCCCAGCATCCTATATGGTCCCCCAAGCTCACCAGGAGTGATCCCTGAGAGCAGAGCCAGGAGTAGCCCTGAGCACTGCCAGGTGTCAGGACCCCCCCCAAAAAATTTTTTTAAAGAAATCTTATGGTGAATATACTAATAGGTCATTGCTATGTCATATCCTTTCAAAGAAGCTAATTTTCATTGTTTCAAGTCAAATATTTTTGTTATTTTTTTGGACCATACACAGTAGTGCTCTGGGGTTATTACTTCTGGTGCTCTGGGCTTATTCTTCCTGGGGATGCTCTGGGGAACAACTATAGTGCTGGGATTCAAATCAGAATTGTCTGTGTGCAAAGTTAGCACCCTCTTGCAATAATCTTTCTATCTCCCCGTGGCCCTAAAACATTTCTTAAATATTTATCTCTATGCAAAATAACCAGACTGTCACTTAAAAGGCATTTCCTGCAGACAGGGTCTTCTCCATAGGATTTGAGAGTGGTTCGGTCTGTCTTATGGACTTGATCATTTATTTTCATTATCCTTTCTCTAGATTGCAGACTCCCCCCCCCCCCTTTTTTATTGCTTCTTTTTTTTTTAACTTTTTAAATTTATTTTTTTATTTTATTGAATCACTGTGAGGGTTTTGTTTTTTGTTTGTTTGGTTGGTTTTTTTTTTTTTTTTTTTGCTTTTTGGGTCACACCCAGCGATGCTCAGGTGTTACTCCTGGCTTTGCACTCAGGAATCACTCCTGGCGGTGCTCAGGGGACCATATGGGATGCTGGCAATTGAACCTGGGTCGGCCGCGTGCAAGCACACGCCCTACCCGCTGTGCTATTGCTCCAGCCCGAATCACTGTGAGATTTAAAGTTAAAGCTTTCATGTTTGAGTTACACTCACACAAAGATCAAACACTTCCCCCTTTTTTCAAATGACTTTTCTTCCTTTCTTACTAAAGAAGCATCTTCTGTAGCCTGTTCTTGAGAATTTAAGAGGCACAGTCTTGAGGTTATCTTTAGTTTGGGGTGCATTGCCCGAGAATGGAAGGGAAGCAGAAGCAATAGAATCCATTTCTTCCTGGTGTGGCCATCCAGAGGTCTGGAATTCCAAGGTTGGGCTGTACATCTGGAATATTGGACAACTGTAGCAACAACTTATCATTGAGGATACAGCTGTGCACTTAATACTCACCTCTCCCAAGAGATTCAGTAAGGCCTATTTGTGTCTGCTCAAGGCATCAGCAAATGCCCTGCTTTCTGTTCATCTTCTCCACGCTGTCTTTTGCTTGAGCGTCTAACCCTGGCATGACTGCAGTTCCTTGGATGAGCGAAGAATACAACTCTATGAAGAAGGAATGGTGGGTGTGGAAAACACCCAGAGCTTTGCAACACCCTCTCCAGCGAAGTTTGTTCTCAGGTCTCATTTTTCCCCTCTTCTCTTCTGCCACAAACTTTTCCATTCTTTTGGGCCAAGAAATATGTGTAAAGATTTCCGAATGTCTTGGTTCAGAAGGGCACACATCTTTAATGACATTTCCTCTGCTCCTGACTCATCTTGCCACTTCTTTGCTCCCAAATAAATCCCCGGCATACCTGTCTCAGGTTGCATTTAGGGTGAAATTTAAAAGAAGGCAAAGTAGGGATTCTGAGTTCTCACTTCCCTGGCTTAGAAGGTAACAGGTGGGCGTGCATTGGTAAGCCTGCAGTCTCCTTGCCTCTGTGTATGTGGCTGGAAAGGGTCAATGTTGTCCTCTACCGAGCAGGGCTGATGAGGATCAGAGAGGGTACAGAAGGTAAAGCATTTGGCCTGCACACGGCTGACCTGGTTTGATCCCTGCACCACATATGGTCCCCCAAGCACTGCCAGGAGTGATTTCTCTGCACAGTTAGGAGTAAGCCCTGAGCACTGCTGTGTGACATGAAAACACACTGAAAAACCAAAACAAATAAGGGAAGGCAAAGGGCTGAGGGTAGAGCTGGTCTAGTAAAACTCCTCACACTCCACAGGCAGCAGATAATCCAAGGATAAAGAAAGTCACTGAATGCTGAAGGAGTTGGCAAAGCAAATGTGTTCAATAAACAAGCCATTTGGGATAACATAACAAATGCTAGGTCCTGGATACAAGGGTTTTTTTTGTTTCTTTTGTTTTTTGGCTTTTTGGGTCACACCCGGCGATGCACAGGGGTTACTCCTGGCTCATGCACTCAGGAATTACTCCTGGCGGTGCTCGGGGGACCATATGGGATACTGGGAATTGAACCCGGGTCGGCCGCGTTCAAGGCAAACACCCTACCTACTGTGCAATCGCTCCAGGCATGTGGATACAAACTGATTCCATTAGTATTTCTTAGTTGTCTTTGTACTTAAAGACAAATACTGGGCTGGAGGTATGGCTCAAACGACAGAGTTCATGCCTTGCATGCATGTGCAAGGCCCTGGGTTTGATCCCTGGTACTATCTGCTCCACCACCTCTTCACAGTACTGCCTAGTGTCTGGTAACCGCCCCCCCCACCTCAAACAATAACAGCAACAACAACAACAAAAACCAATAAGTACACCTATTTCTTAATACTGCAAAACTTGAAAGTACCTAAGGATTTCAGTTAGAAGATACTACACGGGGCTGGAGTGATAGTACAGTGGGGAGGGTATTTGCCTTGCACATGGCCAAACCAGGGCTCGATCCCAGCACCCATAAGGACTTGAGCATGTCAGGAGTAATTCCTGAGCACAGAGCCAGGAGTAACCTGAGCACTGTTAGATGTGGCCCCAAAACCAAATAAATAAATAAATAAATAAATTACAGAATTTAGAAGTGAGCAAAATATGTTTTAGGCAGTGTCAAGGGGGAAAGGCTTATGTAACATGCAGGAGTAAAGGGAAGATATCATACCTAGTTGGCTGTTGGAACGTAGTTTTCCTCAGTAATTTGACTTCCTTTCCTTGAGACGTGCATAGGCTTAGAATCCAGTTTGCTTGTGGAGCTTGCTACAGCATCGAAGCCACAGTGATCTAAGGACCTTCCAGTTTAAATGAACACATCTCCATGCCAGCTATGATCCCTGTAGAATTCTATTACTGGGGTTACCAAATTGGAAAGCAGTACTCTAATGCAAATGACTTCAGATTATAATAAAGATAACCTTTTTGTTTTTCCACTGAAAACCATGCCATGCCAATGAGATGGTGTTCGAGAATAGCTGGAACAGTCGTTGAACGAGTTTATTGAGTGTTTGTCATGGCAGGCACTGTGCTAGGACTCAGTGATACCCAAATGGCTGGCTTGGTGCCCGCTGCAGAAAGGAGTTTAATGTTCATAGGGAGGCCGTCCAAGGAAGCAATTACAGGCAAATGTGTCACTTTCTGTGTGTCTAAGCCCCAGCATTCTTTCCAATACACTTGTGGTTCCTGCCAAGTGTTTTTCATGGTATGTGCAAAACTTCAGCGAGTTGGGCAGACGGGATCCCATCTGCTTGCTAGGTGGGGGTGGGGAGGCAAAGAAGAAAATATTTTCTGAAGGTTGTAGCCGAGCGTTCCACAATGCCACCTTTCAGA